TGATAAATCTCACACATCACTCTGTGTCTGTCACACATGGCCAGGCTGTTTGCTGGTATTGTTCTAAATTCACCTGTTTCAGTGTTGAGAAAGGAAGCAATCGTGCAATGCTTTAAGTTTGATATTTCTATTCTCCTGTTTTATCATAAATCATGTTAATAGATTTTAAATCACTTTTTCAAACAAATGACACCTTCAAATTTTAACACATTTCTCACACTAGTGAATGCTTAGAACATGTAGAACTATAATCTTGTAAGAATGAATAAACAGTTAGCCCCTGGTAGTCTCTATGTTGTAACATAGTAAACATGTTCTGAGACAGAAAAGGAAGAGTATTATGCTTTGTCATGTCAAATAAATCCTGTTGTCCTGCAAAATGTACAATGCTATTTGACTTTTAACATTTTCTGAGGAAACCTCATTATGCTCATTACCCTCAGATGTGAGGGTTTAGGGAAACAATGGACAGGATTGTCATCTATTGATTAACTAATCCCACAAAGGTGCCAGGAAGGCCTCATATCCGTTATCATGGTTATGTGTCAATGTGTCACAATGCTGTAGTCAGTCAGTAAGTCGTGATTATGTTACCATGGTTACTCCTTTTATATATGGCCAGTCGGTAATTACTGTTGAGCCTTAATCATAAGACCTATCGGTGACCAGTGGCATTGGTCCATGTTGAATTGTTGATGCTATTGACCTTTGGTTTGGGTTGTCATGGTGCTTAGTTTCTAGTTTTCGTTATATTTTGGGGCTTCCATGAAATGATGCGACTGACAATAATGATGATATAGAGGGATGTGTAGTTTTGGTATACTGATGCTACATTTGAAAAAAATGGCAGCAAAATTGTTTCTTGCTAATTATTTGCAAATCTGATTGTCCATGTTCAGAGCTACAGATAAGCTGCGTATTAGCGTAAAATACCCCCCCCCCCCCCCCCCCCCCCAAAAAAAAATCTTTTTTAATAATATTCAAAACTCAATTTATTTCAATTAACTTGCGTACAGAAATGCATGCATTAAATGAAAAACTCAAATGTATAAAAACAGCTTGCGTAAATTACCGAATGAAGCTTTCTCAGCATGCATACAATGGAGCTATTTTCCGAAACACAATTACGAGATAATTTACTTCGCGAGTCAAGCCAATATATTTAGAACAGTTATCATGGTTATATACATCTAAAACATTATTTCCTTTTTTTCAAAATCTTAAACCCAGGAGTAAAAACTCAATTGCTCAAAAAGTTATCTGGACCTCTGCATGTTTTATAAAGTGAAAAGGGTTCATGTTTAGGCTTCTGATTGTACAGCTATTGCCACTTTTGCCTAAAGTTTTGTACATATCTTGCTATGTCACCGTAACCTTGTGAGAGGTACTACTTTCAAGTGAGACCTGCTGAGAGGTTTGAATTTACATTTGAACTGTAAGACCTGCTTGGAAGTTTTACATTTGAATTGTATGAACAGTCTTGTAACATGCATCTGATGTTGATATTGGACTTTAAAGTCGTAAAAGCTATGATTTGTTTAACATGAAAATTCCATCACGTGAATCGAACCTGCAGCCTCACATTTCATGTTTAGTATTATTACCCACTGTTTTCCCACTGAACCACCGAGACGGGTGATGAAAGCGTGTACTATCTTACTTGTCATGACTTCAGTTGTCTGCATGCTGCATGGGGTCTTTTTCTTGCCTGCTGTCATCGATTTTGCTATATACTGTGACTACTGTATTGTTTCACAACAAGGTATCCTGATATTTTCTTATTCCTTGTCATATTTCTTGCATGTTTAGATGGTTAATAAGTCCCACTCATGTATGCAATTGTGGTTACCGTCAATCCTCCACCTACTATATATATTCTGTACCATGTTCATCATTCAGTCCTGCTTGACAACAGTATTAGGATCTATACCGAAATGTTGTCTTCACAATTATTAAAGAAGTTGTTATCCATTTATTGTGTCTACTTTGGTTCATAAGTAAGTTAAAACACTAAGTATTTACTGTGACCGTGATGTGGGTGTTTACTGTGACCGTGATGTGGGTGTTTACTGTGACCGTGACGTGGGTTTTCACTGTGACCGTGACGCGGGTTTTCACTGTGACCGTGACGTGGGTGTTTACTGTGACCGTGATGTGGGTTTTCACTGTGACTGTGATGTGGGTGTTTACTGTGACTGTGATGTGGGTGTTTACTGTGACCGTGACGTGGGTGTTTACTGTGACCATGATGTGGGTGTTTACTGTGACCGTGACGTGGGTTTTCACTGTGACCGTGACGCAGGTTTTCACTGTGACCGTGACGTGGGTGTTTACTGTGACCGTGATGTGGGTTTTCACTGTGACCGTGACGTGGGTGTTTACTGTGACCGTGATGTGGGTTTTCACTGTGACCGTGATGTGGGTGTTTACTGTGACCGTGACGTGGGTGTTTACTGTGACCGTGACGCGGGTTTTCACTGTGACCGTGACGTGGGTGTTTACTGTGACCGTGATGTGGGTGTTTACTGTGACCGTGATGTGGGTGTTTACTGTGACCGTGACGTGGGTGTTTACTGTGACCGTGACGTGGGTGTTTACTGTGACCGTGATGTGGGTGTTTACTGTGACCGTGATGTGGGTGTTTACTGTGACCGTGACGTGGGTGTTTACTGTGACCGTGACGTGGGTGTTTACTGTGACCGTGATGTGGGTGTTTACTGTGACCGTGATGTGGGTGTTTACTGTGACCATGATGTGGGTGTTTACTGTGACCGTGATATGGGTTTTCACTGTGACCGTGACTTGGGTTTTCACTGTGACCGTGACGTGGGTTTTCACTCTGACCGTGATGTGGGTGTTTACTGTGACCGTGATGTGGGTGTTTACTCTGATTGTGATGTGGGTGTTTACTGTGACCGTGATGTGGGTGTTTACTCTGACCGTGATGTGGGTGTTTCCTCTGATTGTGATGTGGGTGTTTACTGTGACCGTGATGTGGGTGTTTACTGTGACCGTGATGTGGGTGTTTACTGTGACTGTGATGTGGGTGTTTACTGTGACCGTGATGTGGGTGTTTACTCTGATTGTGATGTGGGTGTTTACTGTGACCGTGATGTGGGTGTTTACTGTGACCGTGATGTGGGTGTTTACTGTGACTGTGATGTGGGTGTTTACTGTGACCGTGATGTGGGTGTTTACTGTGACCGTGATGTGGGTGTTTACTGTGACCGTGACGTGGGTGTTTACTCTGATTGTGATGTTGGTGTTTACTGTGACCGTGATGTGGGTGTTTACTGTGACCGTGATGTGGGTGTTTACTGTGACCGTGATGTGGGTGTTTACTGTGACCGTGATGTGGGTGTTTACTCTGATTGTGATGTGGGTGTTTACTGTGACCGTGATGTGGTGTTTACTGTGACCGTGATGTGGGTGTTTACTCTGACCGTGATGTGGGTGTTTACTCTGATTGTGATGTGGGTGTTTACTGTGACCGTGATGTGGGTGTTTACTGTGACCGTGATGTGGGTGTTTACTGTGACTGTGATGTGGGTGTTTACTCTGATTGTGATGTGGTTGTTTACTGTGACCGTGATGTGGGTGTTTACTGTGACCGTGATGTGGGTGTTTACTCTGATTGTGATGTGGGTTTTTACTGTGACCGTGATGTGGGTGTTTACTGTGACCGTGATGTGGGTGTTTACTGTGACCGTGATGTGGGTGTTTACTCTGATTGTGATGTGGGTGTTTACTGTGACCGTGATGTGGGTGTTTACTCTGACCGTGATGTGGGTGTTTACTGTGACCGTGATGTGGGTGTTTACTGTGACCGTGATGTGGGTGTTTACTCTGATTGTGATGTGGGTGTTTACTGTGACCGTGATGTGGGTGTTTACTCTGATTGTGATGTGGGTGTTTACTGTGACCGTGATGTGGGTGTTTACTGTGACCGTGATGTGGGTGTTTACTGTGACCGTGATGTTGGTGTTTACTGTGACCGTGATGTGGGTGTTTACTGTGACCGTGATGTGGGTGTTTACTCTGATTGTGATGTGGGTGTTTACTCTGACCGTGATGTGGGTGTTTACTGTGACCGTAATGTGGGTGTTTACTGTGACCGTGATGTGGGTGTTTACTGTGACCGTGATGTGGGTGTTTACTCTGATTGTGATGTGAGTGTTTACTGTGACCGTGATGTGGTGTTTACTGTGACCGTGATGTGGGTGTTTACTCTGACAGTGATGTGGGTGTTTACTCTGATTGTGATGTGGGTGTTTACTGTGACCGTGATGTGGGTGTTTACTGTGACCATGATGTGGGTGTTTACTGTGACTGTGATGTGGGTGTTTACTCTGATTGTGATGTGGTTGTTTACTGTGACAGTGATGTGGGTGTTTAACGTGACCGTGATGTGGGTGTTTACTCTGATTGTGATGTGGGTGTTTACTGTGACCATGATGTGGGTGTTTACTGTGACCGTGATGTGGGTGTTTACTGTGACCGTGATGTGGGTGTTTACTGTGACTGTGATGTGGGTGTTTACTGTGACCGTGATGTGGGTGTTTACTCTGATTGTGATGTGGGTGTTTACTGTGACCGTGATGTGGGTGTTTACTCTGATTGTGATGTGGGTGTTTACTCTGATTGTGATGTGGGTGTTTACTGTGACCGTGATGTGGGTGTTTACTCTGATCGTGATGTGGGTGTTTACTCTGATTGTGATGTGGGTGTTTACTCTGATTGTGATGTGGGTGTTTACTGTGACCGTGATGTGGGTGTTTACTCTGATCGTGATGTGGGTGTTTACTCTGATTGTGATGTGGGTGTTTACTCTGATTGTGATGTGGGTGTTTACTGTGACCGTGATGTGGGTGTTTACTCTGATCGTGATGTGGGTGTTTACTCTGATTGTGATGTGGGTGTTTACTCTGATTGTGATGTGGGTGTTTACTGTGACTGTGATGTGGGTGTTTACTCTGACCGTGACGTTGTTGATGTTGCAGGAACCAGGCTGAGATGGCACACACCTGCCGTGGCACCATTAACCTGGCCAATGCCTTCATACACACGGAGGACTCGTGCACCTTCGTCATCTCCAACGGGGGAGCCCAGAGCTTCTACTTGAAGGCGACGTCGGAGGTAGAGAGACAGAAGTGGGTGACAGCGCTTGAGTTGGCAAAGGCCGAAGCCATCAGGATGCTGGAAGCAGGTGATTACTCTAACATTCTCAATATTTATGTTGATAAATGATTTACGCATCGACCATTAATCTGTTTATTTTGTTGTTATTCTGATCATGAAATTTTAATATTACATAACACTATTGACGTAACTGAAGCAAGACATGTGATTATGTTTCATCAACCTCAGGCTGATACAAGGACATGATCTTCAACAACCCATGCTTGCCGTACAAGGCGACTATCCTTGTTGTGAGAGGCGGCTAACGGGATTGGATTGTCAGGCTTGCTGACTTGGTTGATGCATGTAATCATATCACAATTGCGTGGATCGATGCTCGATCTAAAAGAAAGTGGGTTAAAACTGTTGCAGTTGTCCTGTTTACTTATTCTGTAAGAGCCTACTTTCAATTATCTTAGCAGTTTCTTCTATATGGATTAACTATGATAGATCATACCTTGTTGTGTTTTGTCCAGATCCTATTATAGACCAGTCAGGAACGTGAAAGTCCCATATCTCTTGTTATGTGTTTGTCTTGAATCTTCTTCCCCAGAGAGTGACGAAGAGGAAGCGCATCAGCCTGACAAGTTCGAGCTGCAGAACACGTTGCGGACGCTGAATGCCAAACTAGAGGACCTCAACACGTGCAATGACCTCATTGCCAAACACGGGGCAGCCCTGCAGAAGACGCTTTCAGAACTGGAGCAGATGGACAGCATGACAGACGTGGCCAGCAAGCTGAAGGCCGTGAATGAAAGAGCAACTCTCTTCAGGATAACATCGAATGCCATGATAAATGTAAGCTGGACTGAAGGGCGTGAGCAGAAAAGTTTAGTAATCGGACCATCCGCGATTCTTTCATAGTACTATCGTTAATCTGGTAAAGACTAGATAAACTAGATATATTATAGAATCTGGTGGTCCTGGTGTATGTATAGTAGAACGAGCATGGAACACTGAAGTAGTGTGAGATGAGAGAGTGAGTGAGTGAGTTGGGTTTACTGCCGCTTTTAACAGTATTCCAGCATTATCAAGGCGTGTCAGCTTAATGTGGGAGGAAAGCCTGAAGTGACGCAGGTCTTAGACGTTTACCATTTTGGTGAAACCCACGAGCAGGGTATGGTGCTGACAAACCTAGAAACATTATTGGGGCGAACCGGGATTCGAACCCACAATCATAGGTTTCTGGCATGCCCAAGGGACGCAACTCTGCACAGCGAATCACGGCACCCTAGACGACTGGGCCACCTGTGCCCCCAGCAGTGGAGATGAGAGAGTGTGCCGGAGTCGGTGGTAGGGTAGCCTGGTGGTTTGTGTGTTCGCTCATCACATCAAAGGCCTGGGTTTGATTCCCAACATGGACATAATGTGTGAAGCCATTTTTCTGGCTATGCAATATTTCTTACAAGGGCATAAAACCAAACTCACACACTCATTAAAAACAGGTCCAGGACCATTTGACCTTGAATTGAAAATCTCTCAAATGTTTATCATGTTTTTCTTTTCGTCCACAAGTTCATGATAGAATTTGCAAACCGACATCTATTATTTAATATAAAAACTTTCATGGCGTAAATTATCATATGCCGATACTTTTGTAAAAAATAATGTGATTATCCCATCTGAAGGAATATATTGTCTATGTTCCACTTTCAGGCTTGTTCCGAGTACTATGAGTTCGCCCAGGTGCACGGCAAGAGGTGGCAGCGTGTGCTGCAGTTCGAGCACGACCAGCGCCTGAAGCTGGAGGAGATGGTGGAGCAGCTGGCCAAGGACCAGGTGTCCCTGGAAAACAAGGCACGCAAGTCACTGCAGAACGTCAAAAAGGACAACCCAGGTAATACACTGCCGGAAGCCCCATGGGGATTCCTGGTTAGAATCCTAGCAGCCAGCAACCTCGTAAGAGGCGAGCCCGTTGATCAGGTGACTCTGGTTGATGGAGTGTCATTGTAGCCCATTGTTCATTATATCAATCTGTGGTTTGTCTGCTCCAGATTTGAAAATTTACGGGTGTCATCTTTTAGCTGGAATTTTGTTGAGTGTGGCATTAAACAAGGATCAATATAAGTTGTCAACCGATCTCACAATCATCCTATCTTATGTATCTTATAGAAACCCTTCTTTGTAAGTTTATAAATACTGTTTTCGTGAAACTGGATTATTTAGTTGGTCGGATACATAAGATATGTGTCCTTCTGAAAGTTGCCACTTTCACCAGACCATATGCCCAGAGGGATTGGTTGATAACAAATTTATCTTACTGATATTCATTCATATTTAAATGTCCGCATTTTTACAAATCTAGCAGGGGGGCGGTCGGGTAGCCTAGTGGTTAAAGCGTTCGCTCGTCACGCCAAAGACCCGGGTTCAATTCCCGACATGGGTACAATGTGTGAAGCCCATTTCTGGTTTCCCCCGCCGGGATATTGCTGGAATATTGCTAAAAGCGGCGTAAAACCATACCCACTCACTCACTACAAATCTAGCAAAACTCGAAGCATAAAATGCAAACGAACTGAGTTACTTCCCTTTACCAAATGCATTCGGATAAACATCGGTTCATTTCCGGTCTGGAATAAATGTCCGCAGTTTTACAAATGTAGCAAAACTCTAGCAGACGATGCAAACGAACTGAGTTACTTCCCTTTACCAAATGCATTCGGATAAACATCGGTTCATTTCAGAAACTCAACGACACATATGCGAGATTAGCAAGTTACCTAAGATGAAATTTGTAAACTACCTGTGAGCAGTTTACATCGAAAATAATTGATGCTCCTTAACCAATCAGAAGCTAATATTTTAAGGTTTCAAAAAATAATTGCCTGCTCCTTAACCAATCAGAAGTTAATATTTTAAGGTTTCAAAGATAACAAACACTGGAGGAAGTGTTTAGCTGAATGCAAAGTTTGCTCATAGAAATTGAGGGGCCATGGGTGAACTAAACTTAGTTGTCTAAAGCACTGCATTTCGCTGTGCAGAGGTGCATCCCTTAGGCATGCCAGAAACCTATGATTAATGGTGCGATTTGTACTATTACCCTTTTTCTTGTCAGCACCAGTTTGCAGTTTGTGATTTGATCCACTCGTCCAAATCCCCTGTGTTGTAAAATATCCTATGGTCAAGTAAGATCAGGTTGTGCCTGTCCCTATTCTGAGGCTAATATCTACTGAAAATAATGCCAAACTACACATTGGGACAAGTAGACTAAAAAATTTGGCACTGGCTGGCTTGGTGGTTTTATACCAAAGTGGGGGCGGTCGGGTAGCCTAGTGGGTAAAGCCTTTGCTCGTCACGCTGAAGACACGGGTTCGATTCCCAACGTGGGTACAATGTGTGAAGCCCATTTCTGGTGTCCCCCGCCGTGATATTGCTGGAATATTGCAACACTGAAGAAAGTAACAAATGTTATTGTCCAGTGGGGTAAATCTGACTTGTTGTTTGGAGATGTTATTTGAATAGAATGCAGTTTTGGCATGGAATTTACTTGAGTTGTTTATATATGGCCATTGGGTATTTAGAAATGAAAAATTTATTTCGAATCTCAAAGAAAAGAAAGAAGGCAAAGTTTCAAAATTACAACCACTTATTATCTAGCCTTGGTTAGTTCAATTGCCTCTGTGGATAGGGCCTAGTGGAAAGAGTCTAGTGGAAAGAGCCCTTGCCCGGGGATTGAAGGTCAGGGATTCGATCCCCAGCTGCATCATACCAAAAGATGCTAAAAGATGGCACTTGTTGTTTGTTGTTTGTTGTTACACTGTCCTGCACTCGGCGAAACAAGGACTGGTTGGCTCGGAGTCGGTATACTGTGTCTGAGTGGGGTATTCATGTTAAAACTGCGGTGTGGTATCTCAGGGGGCTAACACTATCAAACTGTCATTCGTCCAGACTTGTACCAGCAGCCACACCCACGTACGCATGCACGCATGAACAAGTGTGCAAACATACATGCGTGTTTGAATGTCGCTATATGAGTGCAATAATCTTAAAAATAATTAATCAATACACCTCATTTCACCTCACTTCTCCTAAAAATCTTTATGACACACTTGAAAAATCCATATCTAGCCCTGGAAATTTGACCTGTTAAACAAAAAGTCAATTATGATATATTTTTCATTATATAATTGTGCTGTGTGCAAGCTTTCCCCTGTTCCTGGCCTGCTTACATGGTACCCAATCTTGAACTGACCTGAAATAATCTTCATTATCAACTGTGTGACATGCTCTCTGACCTTGACATTCAGATAAGAAGAATCAGCCGATTGACTTCCACTAAAGACAGTTTCACACAAGCCTGTAGGAACATAGTCAGAGACACTTGGTTTTACCTGCTACAATTTATATGGATTTTCTGGGAGATTTGCATTTACTTTGAAGGCATGTTAGCTTATTTTGGAATGTGACTGAATATACTATACACTTTATCACAGGAAAAATTGAATGTAGATGTCTTTCATATCTTATTTCTGGGTTTCCCCCAGCTAGAGATATGGGACAGAAACAAACATGTTTTTTGTAAAAGGAAATATATATTAGAGGATGTTACTGTCTTCTTATTGTCCAAAGATCCGGGTTAGAATTGGTCTTCAACAACCCATGCTCGTCATAAGAGGTGACTAATGGTATTGGGTGGTCAGGCTTATTGACTTGGTTGATCATTGTTAATAAAAAGTTACTGTGTCTCAATTGCATAGATTGATGCTCATGATGTCAATCACTGGATTGTCTGGTCCAGACTTGATTATTAATATACTGGCATCATATAGCTTCAATATTGCTGAGTGTGGCGTTAAACAACAAACCAACAAACAAACAAATAAATAAATCTTGTCCAAGATTTGAATGAAAGGAGATAATGTCATTCCACTGCTGCTGATTATAGGAAATGTTTGACAGTAATCATCATGATGGGTAACTTTGTTGAGCAGAACAAACATTGTAAGCCTGATGTACGACCCATGAAGATCCGGGGTAGAATAGGTCTTCAGCAACCCGTGCTTCCCGTAAAAGGCGACTATGCTTGTCGTAAGAGGCGACTAACGGGATTCGGTGGTCAGGCTCGCTGACTTGGTTGATGCATGTCATCGATCCCAATTGCGTGGATCAATGCTCATGATGTCAATCACTGGATTGTCTGGTCCAAACTCGATTATTTACATACCGCCGTCATATAGCTGGAATATTGCTGCGTGCAGCGTTAAACAACAAACCAACCTGATGTTAACAGACATCACACATGTAAGGACTATTGCAGAGTTGTATCTTCATCTGATCAGAGGCTGATACTGTGGACACTGCAACTCGGGCGCAGTGATGACTTTACACCACACTCACAAACTAGATTACGTGTCATGCAACTGACTTTTAACTTGTTTGTCAACAAGTACGCTTTTAGTGAAATCAGAGAAGTCTGTGTTCATGGGAATCTAAGTCTAGTTTGATGTTTAAAGATGGTACTAACACTTTAAAACGAGCATTAGTCCGGACTAGTACAAGCAGCAGCATGCACACGTCCATGCATGTTGTTATATAAGTATAAGTATATAATCTTGAACGTGTTGTTAATCTCCTTTTCATCTCACCCATCTCACGGGGCGGTCGGGTAGCCTAGTGGTTAAAGCGTTCGCTCGTCACGCCGAAGACCTGGGTTCGATTCCCGACATGGGTACAATGTGTGAAGCCCATTTCTGGTGTCCCCTGCCGTGATATTGCTGGAATATTGCTAAAAAGCGGCGTAAAACCATACTCACTCACTCACCCATCTCACCTTTTGTCTACAACTGGGGCGGTCGGGTAGCCTAGTGGTTAAAGCGTTGGCTCGTCACGCCAAAGACCCAGGTTCGAATCCCGACATGGGTACAATGTGTGAAGCCCATTTCTGGTTTCCCCCGCCGTGACATTGCTGGAATATTGCTCAAAGCGGCGTAAAACCATACTCACTCACTCACTTTGACTCCAACTGCGGCAATAAGGAGTATATGCATATGCAGTGTTCCCTAGCTATTGCGCCCTTCAATATAGCACTCACTCGGTTATTGCACACCGTAACGCATGGCTCCCCAATCTTACATTTTTAATAAACTGACAAAATGTTTTTCCCCCATCTCAAAAAACATAAGCTGATCACTGCAAGCATGTAACACTCGAAATACCAGTCAACAAATCCGAACTGAAGTACGCAATTTAATCCCATTATTATACTAACTGGTTATAAAAACATGTTCATTGTATATCTCGATTAATATTCGTAATATTTATTCAAAGTTTCATTCAATATTGTTAACATTAACTTTGACTGAATTGTGTATGACGTGTTAAACCCCTGATTGTCTTATTTGGACCCCAAAGGTAGCGTTATAGCGAGGGATCACTGTATTGTCAAAGTGACCATATGGCTATCTCTTCAATGGAGCCATGCCATTAAAGGATGAATCTGCAAGTGGAAATAGTTTTTCATGTTATAGCATATTTTCTAAATGAAAGTTACCAAATTAATGACATTATGTTTAGGTTAATGTATAGATGAAATAGAAGTTACAAATATATAATTTGTTGAATGGACTGTGAGAGGGGATGAATTGTCACGTCTCTGAGTTTTACCAAAGGTACTAGGTAGAACCCCTGAAGATTCCGGGTTAGAATAGGTCTTCAGCAACGTATGCTTGCTGTAAAAGGTGACTATGCTTGTCGTAAAAGGCGACTAACGGGATCGAGTGGTCAGGCTCGCTGACTTGGTTGATACATGTCATCGATCCCAATTGCGTGGATTGATGGTCATGATATTAATCCCTGTATTGTCTGATCCAGACTCGATTATTTACAGATCGCCATCATATATTTGGAATACTGCTGAGTGCGGTTACAACGCGTGTGGTCTGACGTTGATTAATGAATAATTTGCATACTCGTATATGCAAGGGGCCCACGTATGGTACTCATTAGGAAGTGACAATTTGGAGACGATGGCTTGCGGTTTATACAGTTTTACTTTATACATGTATATATATACATACAAAAGACACTATGTGCCAGGTCAGCACATAGTGGTAGTGGTTGTTGTCTAGGTGCCCCGGAGCACCCAGCCTAACCCCAACTAGGCTAAGGGTAAGACCTTTCTTTTCTCCTCTACTCTCCTCTCTCAATCTCTCTGGACCAAGGCTTATATAGCCAAGGTCACCTGACATTTAGTAAGTAATAAATATAAATGTAAACAGTAAATCATCAGTGACATACTTGCACATCCTGTTCAGGATGGCAGACGGTTGATGTACACAAAAATGGGGATTAACAAATAGGATTAGCATCTAATAAATAACAGCAATTAAGTGTTTCAAGGCATATAGATGTCATGGCTCCAGGGTAATGAGCCTTTGCAATCAAATGTTCTTCAGACAATGGATGTCGTAAATCAGTCGCTATGACAGCGGCGTTAAACAACAAACCAACCAACCAACCAACCAACTAGGTAGACTGCAAGGAGAGTTTGAAACAGGCTATAGCTGATAAATAATTGTTCCGTCATATAAGACACAACTATCACTTGTACGATGGTCCAAAGTACCAGCTGCAGTTTGGTCGGCACTTACGCAGGGGAGGTAACTAGGGTTTCCCCGCAGAGCCCATGTGTTTCAATCTTCTTGTGGGTGACAGTCTATGACACATGTCAGCTACGTTGATGCGAGGTCAGTATGCCCTGAGGATTTCCACCACAGGTGGTCACTCTGGCAGTGTGCTGCAGGAATGTTATAGCCTATATTGTTGACATGTGGTATAAATAAACATACATGTTGTTTATTTCCGATGTGAATAGTAAACAGCTCTACATTGGAGTCGTTGTGGTGCATATTACCAGGATTTAGCTTGTGATGTCTTCATGATGTCTGTTAAAGGAACCAATACGGACCCCTGTTTTATCATACAAACTAGTGAGAACTGTGAATAGTAGTGATTTTCACAATGTCTACTGCTCAAAAGAAGTTAAAGAATGCCTGATTCATTCATATTATTATAGTTAGTCTGTCATGGCATCACAGATTATCTGTAGTAATAGGGGCGGTTGGTAGCCTAGTGGTTAAAGTGTTCGCTCGTCACGCCGAAGACCTGGGTCCGATTCCTGACATGGGTACAATGTGTGAAGCCCATTTCTGGTGTCCCCCGCCGTGATATTGCTGGAATATTGCTAAAAGCGTCGTAAAACCATACTCACTCAATAACTAATTATAATCTAATATGATAGAAACGGGTGTTCTTTAACTTCTTTTGAGTTGTATATTTAATTCATATTGTTCAAAGGTACTGGTTTTGATGTTTTGTTACAAAAAATTAAACATGTTTTCATCATACAGTTTTTGTCAATAAGAAATTTGGTTTCAGACTATATGGAACAAGTAGGTCGCTGTTCTGATTATTTGCTTGTTGTTTGATACCACACTCAGCAATATTCCAGCTGTATGAAGGTGGCCTGTAAATAATTGAGTCTAGACCAATTATCCACGGGTGAGGGTGTCGGGGACCACTGATATGCTATCAGCCAAGTCGCCGAGCCTGACCACTAAGTCTCCTCTCCTGATAAGCAAGGTTGCTCAGCCCTAGAAACTATCAGTTTCAGTCCACTAGTCCTTATTATAATGATCCTTGAAGATCTGGGGTAGAATAGGTCTTCAGCAACCCATGCTTGCTGTAAAAGGCGACTTTGCTTGTAAAAGGCGACTAACGGGCTTGGTTGGTCAGGCTCACTGACTTGGTTGATGCATGTCATTGATCCCAATTGCGTGGATCGATGCTCATGATATCAATCACTGGATTGTCTGGTCCAGATTCGATTATTTACAGACCGCCCTCATATAGCTGGGATATTGCTGAGGGCGGCGTAAAACAACAAACCAACCAACCAACCAACCAACCTTATGACATATAGTAAAACCCTTAAAAATGGCAAATTTCTACTAGTTCTTATGAAACCTTAGCTATATGTTCCCTTACTCATAAGCAGCAGAATCTCTGCATTTTGTTGTTGTCTGGTTAATAGTTTACAGGCCGCCGTCCTATAAACTATCTATAACAGTCGTAACACTAAGATCATCTTAGCGCTGAGGTGATCAATCTGTGAAGATCCGGGTTAGAATTGCTCTTTAGCAAACCCATGCTTGTCGAAAGAGGCGACTAACGAGAACAGATGAACAGGCTTGCTGACTTAGTTGATGCATGTCATTGTATCCAAGTTGTGGAGATCAATGCTCATGATGTCACTGGATTGTCTGGTCCAGACTAGATTATTTACAAACTGCTGTCATATAGCTGGAAAATTGCTGAGTGAGGCATTAAACAACAAACAACAAACAAAATGATAAGGTGATCGTAACTTTATGGGGGCGGTTTAGTAGCCTAGTGGTTAAAGCGTTAGCTCTTCACGCCGAAGATCCAGGTTCGATTCCTGACATGGGTACAATGTGTGAAGCCCTTTTCTTGTGTCTGCCGCCTTGATTTTGCTGGAATATTGCTAAAAGCAGCGTAAAACCATACCCACTCACTCCATACTTTATGTCTGGCTTATGATAGTCGTAACACTAAGATCGCTTGGTGGAATCAGTCCCTGGAACTTATTTTAACAGTGCAATTGACACACTTAAACCAGGAATGGTAATTGTATCCCCTTGTTCCACACAGGCTCCAACCCATCTGATGATGAAGATTTCTTTGATGCCCTCGACCACCAGGTGGAGGAGTTCGAAGTGGCGCTGCCTCATAAACCCGAGAAAAGACACAGGTACGTGTTGGCGCTGCTGCTTTTGCCATCGTCAGGAATGTTTGACATCTCTGCATCTTGCTGTACAGCATGTTGCTCTATGAACCTCTGCAGAGCCTGTTCTTCCAGGTGATCCGTGTGCTGCAACGTTGTAACTCCAGGATTTACAGGTTAATGAAAGGCGTAGTAGTTTGGCCACTGCGTTTTATGGTATCGGATCATTGTTTAGCCGTATGAAGCTTTATTAACAGATCTTTAGTGTTAAAATTTTACTTGTTTTGGCATCCAGATCATCTTTGCCTTGCAGTATTTATTTTTATAGTTAGCTTCATTTAATTATTTGTAGGCAGTAATATCAATTATCAGGGATTTATCTAGGATTCCAAACCAAGTGCCCTTGGCCGGCAAATGTGAAAGAGACTCTTCATTGGGATCAATTTTTGGATTTTGTAAGTTATAATATTTAAATTAAGTTTGAAAGCCTCTTCCTCTTTATCATGTTAATTGGCCACATTATCAGTGAAGTACAAGCCCCTACAAAGTCAATACATGAGTTAGAACTCTTGTAACATCAATTGAAAAGTTTTTTTCTTCTAACATGAGAGCCCATTTTTGGTGTCCCCTGTTGTGATATTGCAGGAATATTGCTAAAAGAGGTGTAAAACCATACTCACTCACTCGCTCTAATTGAGAATTTGTACTGATGTTTGATGCTGATTTTGGGCCGAATATCAGCCTCTGGACAGACCTAGATATATCCCTGCAATTATGTTTGCATCTGTAAAGATAGTCATCCATTGTTCTCAATAATGAGTAGGTCAATGCTTACATGAACCTGCAGTGTCTCTACCATGATGATGCTATGAACTTCACGAGGCTAACATTTATCACATCACCATAGTGTTACCTCACCTTGGCGTTAATTGTGTTGCTTAGCAACGATACATATCATGTCATCTCCAATATTCTTCCTCTTCCTTGGACATGCAGAGCAAAGTTTCTGTAAGTGGAGTTTGTAGCTTCTCTCATCGTCCTGTTGTCTCTCTCTCTCGTCTCTGTCTCTATCACTGCTCTCTTGTCTCTCTCTATGCTCTTCCTTCTCTCCCTGTACCTTGGTATGTTAGCTGTAGTTTCATGCTTGCTCTCAGAGCAGTGCTGTGTGCCATCTATGTTGGTTTACAGTCTGGTCAAATAATATCACCCAGGTTAGGACACAGCTGTTGTTAAAACTATTGGTCGTTCACCAGTTTTGTTGTTTGTTTTCTGTTTCTCTAATTTGGGTTTTAGACTTTGCCATCTCATCATCATAGGCAGGTGTATGAATCAGTCTATGCAACCATTAACAGTTGTGATTAATCCAGTAGTAACCGCCCGTGGTCTAGTGGATAGAGCACCTGCCTGAGAGCCTAAGGTCGTTGGTTTCATCCACGGCCACGTCATACCAAAAGACGTTAAAATATGGTGAACCTGCTTAGCAGAACCTGTGGTAAAGCACAATAACACTGGCAGTAATCCAAACTAGTACAAGCAGCTACACACACATACGCACCTGTGCATGCACGTCATAATATATGTGCGAAAATCTTGAACACATAAAACCCCATTCACCTCCACCTCCAAATTGAATTGAATAGCCATTGTATTCATGGTACTCTATCACACTTTTCACTGTATCACTCATCCCAGGACTACTGTACACTCGTCCCAGGACTATTGTACACTTGTCCCAGGACTACTGTGCACATGTCACTCGTCCCAGGACTACACACGTCACTCATCCCAGGACTACTGTACACATGTCACTCATCCCAGGACTACTGTACACATGTCACTCATCCCAGGACTACTGTACACACGTCACTCATCCCAGGACTACTGTACACACGTCACTCATCCCAGGACTACTGTACACACGTCACTCATCCCAGGACTACTGTACACATGTCACTCATCCCAGGACTACTGTACACATGTCACTCCTCCCAGGACTACTGTACACATGTCACTCATCCCAGGACTACTGTACACATGTCACTCATCCTAGGACTACTGTACACACGTCACTCATCCCAGGACTACTGTACACACGTCACTCGTCCCAGGACTACTGTACACACGTCACTCGTCCCAGGACTACTGTACACACGTCACTCATCCTAGGACTACTGTACACATGTCACTCATCCCAGGACTACTGTACACACGTCACTCGTCCCAGGACTACTGTACACGCGTCACTCGTCCCAGGACTACTGTACACGCGTCACTCGTCCCAGGACTACTGTACACACGTCACTCATCCTAGGACTACTGTACACATGTCACTCGTCCCAGGACTACTGTACACACGTCACTCATCCCAGGACTACTGTACACACGTCACTCATCCCAGGACTACTGTACACATGTCACTCATCCCAGGACTACTGTACACATGTCACTCATCCCAGGACTACTGTACACATGTCACTCCTCCCAGGACTACTGTACACACGTCACTCGTCCCAGGACTACTGTACACACGTCACTCATCCTAGGACTACTGTACACATGTCACTCGTCCCAGGACTACTGTACACATGTCACTCGTCCCAGGACTACTGTACACATGTCACTCCTCCCAGGACTACTGTACACACGTCACTCGTCCCAGGACTACTGTACACACGTCACTCATCCCAGGACTACTGTACACACGTCACTCGTCCCAGGACTACTGTACACACGTCACTCATGCAAGGACTACTGTACACATGTCACTCATCCCAGGACTACTGTACACAAGGAATACAGTACATATGTGTCATATATCCCAGATACTGTACATATGTGTCATATATCCAAGGAATACAGTACATATGTGTCATATATCCCAGATACTGTACTTATGTGTCATATATCCCAGATACTGTATATATGTGTCATACATCCAAGGAATACAGTACATATGTGTCATATATCCCAGATACTGTACATATGTTTTACATATCCAAGGAATACAGTACATATGTGTCATATATCCCAGATACTGTACATATGTGTCATATATCCCAGATACTGTACATATGTGTCATATATCCAAGGAATACAGTACATATGTAACATATATCTAAGATACTGTACATATGTGTCATATATCCCAGATACTGTACAGGTATATCATGAATCCAAGGAATACAGTACATATGTATCATATATCCCAGATACTGTACATATGTGTCATGTATCCAAGGAATACACTACATATTTGTCAAATATCCCAGTTAGTGTACAGGTATATCATGAATCCAAGGAATACAGTGGATATGTATCATATATCCCAGATACTGTACATATGTGTCATGTATCCAAGGAATACACTACATATGTGTCATATATCCCAGATACTGTACATATGTGTCATATATCCAAGGAATACACTACATTTGTGTCATATATCCCAGATACTGTACATATGTGTCATATATCCCAGATACTGTACATATGTGTCATATATCCCAGATACTGTACATATGTGTCATATATCCCAGATACTGTACATATGTGTCATATATCCCAGATACTGTACATATGTGTCATGTATCCAAGGAATACACTACATATGTGTCATATATCCCAGATACTGTACATATGTGTCATATATCCAAGGAATACACTACATTTGTGTCATATATCCCAGATACTGTACATATGTGTCATATATCCCAGATACTGTACATATGTGTCATATATCCCAGATACTGTACATATGTGTCATATATCTCAGAATACAGTATTCATAACAACTGTCATCAGTATACAGTTTATTTCAACCATTCTATCCATCAAATGCAATATGCATGTATCATCCAACATATCCATGGAACACAATATTCAAGATGCCGTTACCTACATATGTCTGGAATATTGTATCACTCATCCATGTTATCCAACAATATGGTGGTCCTATGTACAGCTTGGGGTGAGTGAGTGACAGACTGACCCGGAGCAGGTATGACTCACCCCTGCTGGCCTCGGACTGTACACTGTGGAGTATCATGCAAGTGAGTGAGTGAGTGAGTGAGTGACCCACAGCAGGTGTGACTCACCTCTGCCGTGCCACATTCTTAACCTTCCTGACTTCGGACTGTACCCGACACTCAGGAAACCACCGACTCTGCCAGTCTCTGTGGCTCTCTCCCTGCTGGAGGGGCTGTCAGATGCCTTCTGTACGGCTCTGTACAGCTCTGTATTGTTGTCAGTGTGGAGTTTGCTCCTACTCAACCGCAGGGTCGTGAAAGTGCATGATGTCACAGAATTATTTCCTCTCAGGTCATGTGTTTGTGTGTGTGTGTGTTTCGACTGACATGAACTGTACACACGCTGAAGGCTGTCATTGATAACAGTGTTCTTGAATGGTGAGTTCAGGTACTTCACAACACAGAACATGTCAATATTAATCTTTTCATTTGTTCAATGTTGCTTTGACCTGTCACTGAAGGCTGTCATTGATAACAGTGTTCTTGAATGGTGAGTTTAGGTACTTCACAACACAGAACATGTCTCTATTAATCTTTTCCTGGTTCAATGTTGCTACGACCTCTCACTGTTTATGGCTCTTTGTGGTTGTTATGTTGAGAGTAGAACTGTTCATTTTCAAAGGCTGGTTAGAGTAAATCTCTTTGCTTATGACAAGGGGAGTAGGGAGGGTTTTTAGCACTCCCAAAGCATAGGATAATATGTCTCATTTTTAAGGATTCTCTGTGATACCAGAACTGTTTGGTATTTTAGTAAATCTGAAGAATGTAGAGCATTGACTTCACCGTACTTCAAGGTTCATACATGCTTGAAAGGCCTTGAATTTTAAGGTCCCTCTTTAAAAGCCTTTACTTTTAGTGTCAACCTTGAAAATCCTTGAAAATCACCACAATAGCTTGAAAAGCCTTGTATTTGTGTAAAATGACATATACTTGTTTTTAAAGTATCAAAAATTTATGGCTTAATTTAATTTAATTCATTTGATGTTTTTGAAACAAAATCTTGTTGGAAAATTAGTGGTGTTTACACTGCTTGGTATGCTGGAAATGTCTTTTGAAAGCCTTGAATTTTAGTGTCTCATATCTGTATGAACCTTGTAAGCATGCATGTTTATAGATGTTTTAAATGGATACTGATATGGATTATTGCATTAATTGGTAATTGTTTTTAATGATAACTGTCTGTTACTGTGTATGAAATGAATGTATTGAATTGAAAGCACTTATTTGGGATAGAATGTCCTGAGAGAAAAGATATGTACTTTAATTTGGCCTGATTGTTGTCCTGAATATGTTGTGTATTGTTTGGTTTAGTGGATGATGAATGCCACGTTTTCCTTGTGTTGCTTGGCTTTCATTGCCGAATGACAGGTAGTAACAATGGGTTTTGTTTTCAGGAAATGTTAATAATACAAAGTTACGGTAATAGAAGTTATTTTCCTGTTACTTAATCCTAGGATTATAAGAGAAAAGGATACAAATCATTTGTTAGACCAGTTCCTGTTTTTGAAATCATATCTCGACATGCATGTGTTTAGTGGTGTAGGAAGACATTGCTTTGCTAACATGGCTAATGATATTTTAGAACAAAATTTACTATTATTCTTCTCTCGCCTCTCCTCATAATAGGTCTTCAGCAACCCATGCCTGCCGGACTATGGCGATTATGCCTTTCGTAAGAGGTGACTAACGGGATCAGGTGGTCAGGCTCACTGTCTTGGTTGATGCATGTCATTGTATCGATCGATGCTCGTGATATCAATCACTGGATTGTCTGGTCCAGACTCGATTATTTGCAGACCGCTGTCATATAGCTGGAATATTGCTGAGTGCGGCGTTAAACAACAAACTAACAAACAAACAATCTCTCCACAGGTTTTCTTGGTAATAGGACTGAATGTGGTTTAAAACTAATTTCAACTTATTTAACGGCTGAGGATTTATGGGTTGTGAGCCTACATTTGCCAGGGATAGACCCAACCTCTAATCTGTTGGTCAGTTTTGTCATTCTAGTTAAATATACACTTGACATATTATGTGAATCAGTTTTGTGTGTCTTGGAAAGATAAAAATATCCTATGCAAAGGGGAGTAGTATATTTGTCCTATTTGTTTGATATTGTAAACTTGTCAGGGTTGGTTTTAGTGTCGATAAGATGGTTCAAATTGTAATGATACGATAAAAATATGTTCCTTGTTCTCAAGAGCACACTTAGAAATATCAATTTTTTTAACCATACCTTGTGGTAACGATCATTGGAAAAAAATAGTAATACACTTTCATACAAATAAATGCTACAAACACATGGATAATGATAAACATGTTAATGAACAGTGTGATTCACAAAAGATTGTTAAGTTAAAAAAAAAAAAGGGGGGGGAGACAGGGTTGCCCTATATACACAGAGTAGAAGACTCACATTTTTAAATATAAGTGCAACCCGATGGGTATTCTGGGTTAGAAATGGTCCCCAGCAATCCATGCTGGTCGTAAGAGGTGACCAAATGGATCGGATGGTCAGGCTCGGTAACTTGGTTGCGCGTCATCGTACTCCGATTGCCTGGAGCATTACTCACAATAGCAATCACTGTATTGTCTGGCCCAGACGAAATTTTATGTGCAGGCTGGGATCACATTGCTGGAATACTGCTGAGTGCGACGTACGTAACAAACAATCAAATATTAATGCAATATTCTTGAACGGACATTAAGCCCCATTTCACCTCAGCACCACCTTGACAGAAAGTACATTTGTGTTGCTGCTTGTTTCAGACGCACCGACAGTGACTTCAGTATGGAGAGCTACAACAACGACATGTCCAGCGAGTCCGAGTCCGAGACCTTGTCCCAGGAGGCCAGGGTCTACACAACCAAAACAGACTCGCCCAAAAAGGTCGGCTTCAAATAAGTTGAGAGAAACACAACAGCATCCTCTATATCTCCAGGGTTTGCATTTTTGTAAACCTACACTTACGCCTGAACATTTCTGGTGTCCCCCGCCGTGATGTTGCTGGAATATTGCTAAAAGCGGCGTAAAACCATACTCACTCACTCACTCACTTACCCCTGGATCCATTTACATGGTTTTCGGGATCTCAAATTATCCGCCCTTGATTTTCATTAGCCATTTTGATTGGCTATGCTACGGACTGATCAGGATGCAGTTTCAAGCCAGCCTCAATGTTGGGTTGCCGATATCAACAACATTGCGGCCAGCCCCATTGATAAGGATAGAGTTTGCAAGAAAGTCAACATTGAAAAACTGACTGACACGCAAAATAAAGCTCCCAAAATTCTTTTTGACGTGAAGGATGTCTGAAGTGGTGCCTTTTGCTGTTGTGGGGGCTAAAGTTTTCTGATGACTCTTGTTCCTTTTCTCGACGTTCGATTGATCAGTCAAAATGTTCATGAAAATCAAGGCCAGGTAATTTAAGATTGCAAAAACCATGGGAATGAATCCAGGGGTTACTGTAGGTTTACCGAAATGTGAGCCCTGGAGATATAGATAATGTAGCAACGATTGATTTGGGCGACTATTGTATTAAGAAATCCTGTCGGGATTCTAGGTCAAAATTGGTCCCAATCACCTTGCTTGAAAAAAGTGACCTGGATGATTGTCTGTTTTACCTGGTGGCATTGCTCATGCTGTCGCCCACTGGTTTATCAGCCTATTATGTCAAGGCTAATGGATACAGCTGGAATATTGTTGACATTGGCATAAAAAGACATCACTTGCTCGCATTTTTTAAGATGATAGGTCTGCTTACTAGATGTACTATGAAGATATATACCACTCGAAAGAAGTAAAATATTCATTATGTTACTATAGTTAATCTGTCATGGCATGTAATCTGAAAACATCGGTTTTCTTAACTTCTTTTGAGTGGTATGTATTAATGAAATTATTTTATTGGTATTTTTTTGTTTTCTCCTGATTATGAAACAATTGGAAAAATATTTGAAAACATAACCAGTATTTGAAGCCTGGATTTCGTCAAACGAGATAATTATGAAATTAAAAACTTTAAGAATGTGATTGAGATTGATTGTATATGACAGAAAAGATTTGCATTTTGTATATATTTCTGCATTCTGCTTACTTGATGGTTCAGTTGTCAGGAACCATGAACCATTGGCATTAAGTGCTCAATAATACAAAGAAATCTGAAACACACTTCTCATTGACAAAAGTAAATGCAAAGATTAAACAAGGGGAAGTAACTCTCAACAATTATGTTGATCCCCAACGAACACCTGTGAGCACATTCAACGTGTTTGTGAGCAGTTTTCATATACTGATGAGAAATTGGCCACCGCCTGTCTACTCTCAACATTTTGGCCCAAGACTAAGAGTAGATAAGCCAATTTTTGTTTTATCAGTTAATTCAACCAATTCTTTGTGTACTAGAAGCATCATAAAGGTCTATATGTACAGAGTTCCATCCCTTTGGGGTGCCAGAAACTTTTGATCATTAGTTTGAATCCCCGATTTTCGCTGATTGTTGACTTGGTTTGTCAGCGCCATTCCCATGCACGATGTGGTCAAACATTTTTTCAGGTAGGTTGATGGTAGGTTAAGTAGGTTGTGCATACAGTTTGGTGCCCGTTTCTAGAGTAGGTCTCCATGTTGTCATAACTGTCGTCAGGGAAACTGAGACTGTCTTTATGTTAGTGAGTGAGTGAGTGAGTATGGTTTTACGCTGCTTTTAGCAATATTCCAGCAATATCACGGCGGGGGACACCAGAAATGGGCTTCACACATTGTACCCATGTCGTGTCTTTATGTAATTAGGGTATGAAATTATTATTTCGTTTCAGGATTGATTTTGCTGATAATACTTGAGTTGGTACAAATGCAGTTTGTGCCAAAAATATTTGTGTCCACTGGCCAAACTTGGCCACAAGCATAATTTTCTGTAGATATTGATTTTTTTTCCCCTAGTACTAGCTGAGCTTACTAGAACTAACAAAAGTTTCCGAGGCTTTGGACTAGTGGCTAACGTAACAGACTGAAAATGTACAGTGCTGTTTCATGGACTTTCGTCCAACTTGCTTGGATTGCCTTTTGTCCCAATTATGACGTGTAATTGAGTCGTGTTTGTCCGTCGTTGTAGATGGACTCAGTTTCTATCGTGAAGGGGGAACACAGGCGAACTGCAAGCCACGACAAATCCCGAACACGAACATCATCCGTATCTTATGATTCCCAGAATCCTTCATCTGCTTCCGAGTCGTCAGGCGATGTGGTGTCAAAACGTGTTCGGCGACACAGGATCCCGGACAAACCCAACTTCAGCCTAAACTTATGGAGCATAATGAAGAACTGCATTGGTCGAGAGCTGTCCAAGATCCCCATGCCTGTAAGTACTAGTTTACCCTCCCGGAGCTGCAGATAAGCTGCATATTTGCATAAAATACCCCCAAAAATATTCAAAAGCTAATTACTTTCAATTAACTTGCGTACAGAAACACATGTATTAAATGACAAACTCAAATGTATAAAAACAGCATACGTAAAAACCCAATGAAGCTTTTTCAGCATGCGTACAACAGCTAATTTCTGAAACACTATTATGATCTTTTTTACTTTCCGAGTCAAGCCTATATTTAGAACCATTATATAATCTAAAACATTTATTTCATTTTTTTTTCAAGACTCAAAATGTTTACTCTTTGGGGAAAAACTCCAAAGAGTGATGAATAGATGAGTGAAAAAATATTGGTTACCCAATGAAAAATGTAATAGCCCAATTAAAATAGAAACCGTCGAGTAAAAACTCAATTACTCAGAAAGTTTTCTGGAGCTCTGCCCTCCGTCATCTTGAGGATATACGTCTGCCCGGACTCGGAAAGTCAGAGGCTCAACCCCGTGGCAGCATTATACAGAGAGTTACAAGATGGTATCCTGTTGTCGCTCACCATTAAGGAGATGAAGGGGGCACGGGTGGCCCAGTCGTCTAAGGCGCCGCGATTCGCTGTGCAGAGTTGCGTCCCTTGGCCACGCCAGAAACCTAATGATTGTGGGTTCGAATCCCAGTTCGCTTCGATTATGTTTCTAGGTTTGTCAGCACCATACCCCTGCTCGTGGGTTTCACCGAAGTGGTAAACGTCTGGGACCTGCATCACTTCGGGCTTTCCTCCCACATTAAGCTGACATGTCGTGATATACTTGGAATACTGTTAAAAGCGGCGTTAAACCCAACTCACTCACTCATTAAGGAGATGAAACAAGGACTGGTCAGCTCAGAGTCAGTATATTGTGTCTGAGTAGGGTATCCTTGTTAAACTGCAGCATGGTATCTCAGTGGGCTACTCTGCGGAAATTGTCACTAGTCCTATAGTCCTTGCCAAACTGCCCAATAGTTGTGGTATCAGAAGGACTAGTAGAAATTTGCAATTTTTAAGGGTTTTGCTATATGTTATCATTATGAGGACTAGTGTTAGTTTCTACCGCTGGGGCTAGCACTATAAAACAAGCATTAGTCCGGACTAGTACAAGCAGCCACACACACACACGTGTGCATGCACATCGCTATATAAGTGCAATAGTCTTGAAGGTAACAACGTGAAACCCCATTTCACCACCTCCTTGTGTTAGCTGTGTATTGTCAGTACAGGTTTGTGTACGCTCTGTGTCTCCGCCACACCTGTCAACCCCTCATCATGACAATGTGGTAGATTTGACTTCAAAATGGGGTAGATTTGCCTCCAAAGGGGGAGATTTTTAAAATAGTGAAGATAAGATAATTTCCACCTTTTATTTTTATTATTGTTATTAAGAAAACCAAATATTTTAAATCAATAGATAATTAATAACTTCTTATACGTACAGCTTGCTAAATTTTCGTTTGCATTTTCCTCCTCCAAGAACAAACCTAGCACAATCTACCCATATCACTTTCGTTCAAAGATCATCTCAGATAAAAACAAACAGATATTGAAATTTAACGATTGGTAGCTTGACCAGTTGACAACGTTTTCAATCCGCCCAGTTGTCAGCCTTAATGTTAATCATGGGTTGAAACTAGAAACTGAACTACAAACAGCCATATGTATTTACGAGTAGGAACATAAAGCGACCAAACCTGTATTGACAATTTCAGTAGTAATTTCAATAGTATTGCAATTGTATTAGACCAACTCTAAGGCTTGATAATTATATTTAACCGAGATAATAGAAATGAATAAAGTATTACTACCAATCTCAAACACGGCCATTTTCCTCTCTGTAGCAACTCAAACCAAAGGGAGGTAACTCTAATCCTAAGTAGTCATAATCTTTGCTAACCAGCACACAGTCAGTTTTGAAATTGGCATAATTTATACTTTTTTTATGTCTTATCACAACTATTGAAGCTATTGATTTTTAAGCATACTATTGACAATACTATTTGCATCTTTTATTTCCTATCGAGGGCAAATAAATGCAATAATCGATAGTTTGACATATCGTTACACTCCTAGTGATCATGTTCCAGTGTGTGATTCCTGGCACTGTGGTACAATGGACTTGTGGTTGTATTGAGATTACTGGAACATTTCTGATACTAAAATAACACCTAAATTGCTCACTTCTTCAGGTCAACTTCAGCGAACCCCTGTCCATGTTGCAAAGACTAACGGAGGAGTTTGAGTACACGCACTGTCTGGATATGGCTGCGCGGTGCGAGGACTCTGCTGAACAGCTGGCCTGGGTGGCCGCGTTCACGATATCGGCGTACGCCACCACTCTCAGTCGGACAGGCAAGCCCTTCAACCCTCTCTTAGGGGAGACCTATGAGTGTGACAGGATGGACGACCTGGGATGGAGGTCCATTGCAGAGCAGGTAACTCCTAGATTTCTGTTACTGTTGTCCTCCTCCACATTCTGAATAACAACTTGTATGCAAATTTCTGGCCAGAATGGTTCCAAGTATCTCATGCTTGTTGTAAGATCCAACTAATATCATGATCGTATGGCCAGTGTCTGTGACTTGGGGGGCGGTCGGGTAGCCTATTGGTTAAAGCGTTCGCTCGTCACGCCAGAGACCCGGTTTTGATTCCCGACATGGGTACAATGTGTGAAGCCCACTGTGATATTGCTGGAATATTGCTAAAAGCGGCGTAAAACCATACTCACTCACTCACTCTGTGACTTGGCTGCTTGAGTGTCATTGATTGTGATATTTTGGAGTCAGACTATGATAGTAACCACTATTCTGTGTACTATTCAAGCCACACTGGCTGTGATTCCAACACCCTACAAAGTTAGAATTGGTCTTCAGCAGCCCATGGTTGCTGAAAGAGGCAATTGACGGGTCGGGAGGTCAGGCTCACTGACTAGGTTGAAACACATCGTATCCCAATTGCGTGGATTGATGCTCATGATGTCAATCATTTGATTGTCCTGTCCATTCTTGATTATTTACAGACCGCTGTCATATAGGTAGGATATTGCAGAGTGCTGCGATAGACAAACAAGCAAAAACTTTGATTAAAACAGTGAGGCTCTGTTTCCAGGTGGCATCTTTCGTTCTATTTGTATCGGTTTCCAGACAAGCAGGTTCAGCATGTTGATGTGTTTGTGTGCTGCAGGTGTCCCACCACCCGCCCACACTGGCTGTGTATGGTGAGGGGAAGGAATGGAACTTGTGGCAGGAGTTCACCATGACCAGCAAGTTCCGCGGCAAATACCTGCAGATTATACCCATGGGTGAGTGCAGCAGCCTCTTAGCATAGAAACTATGCAAGTAGAATGCTTTTCTAACCATTAAAATATGGGATTAGTTGAATTCAGGTTCGCAAGTAGATCTCATTTGTGATTATGTGGAATTGGCCTGTTAAACAGCATTTGAAATTGGCACTAGTCCTATAGTCCTTGCCAAACTGCCCAATGGTAAAGGTATCCTAAGGACTACTAGAAATTTGCCCTTTTTAAGGGTTTTGCTATATGTTATCATTATAAGGACTAGTGGACGAAAACTGTTAGTTTCTAACCCTGTTAAAGCTTCTAGGCTTTGTGAGAGGCAGTGTGGTAGGCTAGTGGTTAAAGCGTTGGATCGTCACGCTGAAGATGCGGGTTTGATTCCCCACGTGGGTTCAGTGTGTGAAGCCCATTTCTGGTGTTCCACTCACTCACTCACTCACTCACTCACTCACTCACTCACTCACTCACTCACTCACTCACTCACTCACTCACTCACTCACTCACTCACTCACTCACTCACTCACTCACTCACTCACACGGCTTTGTGAAAGTATTGATAAGAAAATTTGTTATATAATGCAAAGATTTCGGCCATACTCATTGGCTGGAAGGAGCCTGTTCCATACCCTCAATTGTCTGGTCCAGACTGAATTATTTACAGGCCAGTGTCATGGGTGATAGTACTGACAATACCGTCATTCGTGTTCAGGCATTGCCCACCTGGTGTTTCCCAAGAGCGGCAACCACTACACGTGGCGCAAGGTGACGACGACGGTGCACAACATCATTGTTGGGAAGCTGTGGGTGGACAGCCATGGGGAGATGGACATCACCAACCATCAGAATGGGGACAAGTGTCATCTCAAGTACTCTGCTTACAGCTACTTCTCCAGGGATATACCCCGGAAGGTGAGTAGTGGGATGAGTGGGTCGCTGTTATTCCCTGCAAGTTGGGTAGTGGGATGAGTGGGTCTCTGTTATTCCCTGCAAGTTGGGTAGTGGGATGAGTGGGTCTCTGTTATTCCCTGCAAGTTGGATAGTGGGATGAGTGGGTCTCTGTTATTCCCTGCAAGTTGGATAGTGGGATGAGTGGGTCGCTGTTATTCCCTGCAAGTTGGGTAGTGGGATGAGTGGGTCGCTGTTATTCCCTGCAAGTTGGGTAGTGGGATGAGTGGGTCGCTGTTATTCCCTGCATGTTGGGTAGTGGGATGAGTGGGTCGCTGTTATTCCCTGCAAGTTGGGTAGTGGGATGAGTGGGTCGCTGTTATTCTCCACAAGGGATAAACAAGATGGTGGTGGGTCCCTGTGTTATTCCCCATAAGGGGATAAACGAGATGGTGGTGGGTCCCTGTGTTATTCCCCATAAGGGGATAAACGAGATGGTGGTAGGTCACTGTGTTATTCCCCATAAAGGGATAAACGAGATGGTGGTCGGTCCCTGTGTTATTTCCCATAAGGGGATAAACAAGATGGTGGTCGGTCACTGTTATTCTCCATAAGGGGATAAACGAGATGGTGGTCGGTCACTGTGTTATTCCCCATAAGGGGATAAACGAGATGGTGGTCGGTCACTGTGTTATTCCCCATAAGGGGATAAACGAGATAGTTGTCGGTCCCTGTGTTATTCCCCATAAGGGGATAAACGAGATGGTGGTGGGTCCCTGTGTTATTCCCCATAAGGGGATAAACGAGATGGTGGTGGGTCCCTGTGTTATTCCCCATAAGGGGATAAACGAGATGGTGGTGGGTCACTGTGTTATTCCCCATAAGGGGATAAACGAGATGGTGGTGGGTCCCTGTGTTATTCCCCATAAGGGGATAAACGAGATGGTGGTGGGTCCCTGTGTTATTCCCCATAAAGGGGCTAAAACAAGGACTGGTCGGCTTGCGGCATACACTATAAATGGGCATCAGTCCGGACTAGTACAAGCAGCCACACACACACATACACGTGCATGCACGTCGCTATATAAGTGCAATTATCTTGGACGAGACGTAAAACCAAATTTCACTCACCTTTCTGATCCCGACTCACTGTGTTTCCAGGTTTCGGGTGTGGTGACGGACGCGTCTGGCAAGCCAAAGTGGGTGATGACAGGGACATGGGATGTCCAGATGGAGGGGGCCAAGGTGCTGCATGTAGAGGAGTCCAACAAGGGCAAGCCGGTGTTCGAAACAGGCCCACATAAAGTCATGTGGAAGGTTAACAAACCGATGTACGTATAGTTTATGATATTTATGATGCGCCAAATCCACACCCTAAATCAGACAGTGCTACAATATTACCCAGGTCATGTCAAGCAAAGGTTGTTGCTTTCATAAAGCTGAGTTTCTTTTTAAGAGTATCATGTCACAATATATAGTGGGGGCACAGGTGACCAAGTCGTCTGAGGCGCCGTGATTCGATGTGCAGAGTTGCATCCCTTGGGTAGCCACAAACCTATGATTGTGGGTTCGAATCCCAGTTCGCTCGGATTATGTTTCTAGGTTTGTCAGCACCATACCCGTGCTCGTGGGTTTCACCGAAGTGGTAAACATCCGAGACCTGCATCACTTCGGGCTGTCCTCCCACATTAAGCTGGCACGCCGTGATATAACTGGAACAATGTTAAAAAGCGTTTTTAAACCCAACTCACACACACTCACAATATATAGTGGCTGTTTATACTGTATTACAGTGCCTCTATCATGGAACACAGTCAAAAAGATGTGTACCATGGGAATTTCTGGTTAGAATTGGTCACCAGCCACCATTGCGTGTTGTAAGAGGCTACTAAATGGATTGGGTGGCCAGTCGTTGACCTGACTGATTGCATGTCATTGTACCCTTACAGCGTCAGGGGTTGCTCATGACATCAGTCACTGGAATGTCTGGTCCAGCCCTGTTTTTTACAGACCACAATGATATAGCTGGAATGTGGCATTAAACAAAAAACAGTACTGAAGATTTTCAAAGCCAACTCCTTTGAAAAGGAATCCTATCTGGGGAGAATGCATTTGTTAAACTTCAATATTTTGGTATATATAGTTTATCATAGTGCTTGGCATAAACACAATGTTAAACTGTAGAGATTTAAGGGTTCTCTAGACTAAAAATGCAGTATTTTATTTGTGTCCAGATGACTAGGGTATCCCAGTCCAGATATTGAAACAACTATGATATTGTTCCACCTCAAGACATCCCTCTATTCTTTGCTGGGACTGCCTTAGTGGTCCATTGGTAGAGGACCTGCCCGGAGAGCAACAGGTTTGGGGTTGATTCCCAGTCATGCCATACCAATAGACGTTAAAAGATGGTACTTGTTGTTAACCTGCCTTGCTCTTGGCTTTAAGGGCTAAAACAAGGACTGGTCGGCTTGGAGTCAGTATGCTGTGTCTGAGTGGGGTATTCATGTTGAAATGTGGCATGGTATCTCAGTTGGCAACACTATAAAATTGGCATTAGTCTGGACTAGTACAAGCAGCCACACACATGCACATGCATGCACGTCGCTATGTAAGTTCAATAATCTTGAACGTGAGGTTAAACCCCATTTCACCTCACCTCACCTCACCTCACCTCACCTCACCTCACCTCTTCTTCTTTGCTGCTCAGAGTGGGATGTGAGAGGATCTACCACTTCACACAGCTTGCTATTGAGATGAATGAACCGGAGGAAGACGTTGCTCCGACAGACTCGCGGAACCGACCGGACCAGCGGCACATGGAGAATGGCAAGTGGGACGAGGCAAACCGAGTGAAGATCCTGTTGGAAGAGAAACAGAGGGCGTCCCGGAAAAAGAGGGACAGTGAAGCAGAGAAGGCCAAGGTTGAGGGTGTGTATATTGGGCTGGAGTAGGCCATGAGTGGCCTAACGAAACTGCAAAAGAAACATCACTTCATGAAAATAATTTATGACATTTTCCAATTGAAATTATCAATACTTTTTTGGGAGGTATCTCATTTTTTACATGAGTCTGTTTCCAAACTAAATGTTAACGGCCAGAGGATACGGTTAAGGATATATGGGTCTCCAAAACGTGAGTAGGCCATGACTGAGTAGGGGTGTTGGGGGTTGAGTAGGCCATGACTGAGAAGGAATGTTTGGCTTGAGTAGGCCATGACTGAGTTGGTATGTTGGGCTTGAGTAGGCCATGGCTGAGTAGGGCTGTAGGATTTGAGTAGGCCATGACTGATTAGAGGTGTTGGGCTTGAGTAGGCCATGGCTGAGTTGGGATGTTTGGCTTGAGTAGGCCATGGCTGAGTAGGGCTGTAGGGTTTGAGTAGGCCATGACTGATTAGAGGTGTTGGGCTTGAGTAGGCCATGGCTGAGTAGGGGTGTTGGGCTTGGGTAGGCTGTGACTGAGTAGGGCTGTAGGATTTGAGTAGGCCATGACTGATTAGAGGTGTTGGGCTTGAGTAGGCCATGACTGATAAGGAGTGTTGGGCTTGCATAGGCCATGACTGATTAGGGGTGTTGAGCTTGAGTAGGCCATGACTGATTAGGGGTGTTGGGCTTGAGTAGGCCATGACTGATTAGGAGTGTTGGGCTTGCGTAGGCCATGACTGATTAGGAGTGTTGGGCTTGCATAGGCCATGACTGATTAGGGGTGTTGGGCTTGCATAGGCCATGACTGATTAGGGGTGTTGGGCTTGCATAGGCCATGACTGATTAGGGGTGTTGGGCTTGAGTAGGCCATGACTGATTAGGGGTGTTGGGCTTGCATAGGCCATGACTGATTAGGGGTGTTGGGCTTGAGTAGGCCATGACTGATTAGGGGTGTTGGGCTTGAGTAGGCCATGACTGATTAGGGGTGTTGGGCTTGAGTAGGCCATGACTGATTAGGGGTGTTGGGGGTTGAGCAGGCCATGACTAAGGGTGTCAGGCTTGAGTAGACCTTGCCTGAGTAAGGGTTGTCTGGGCTAGAGTAGGCTCTGACGGACAGGAGCGTTTGTAAATCAGTAAATGTTTAGCCTCAGGCATGATCTCTGATTGTATTTATTTGTGAATGATGTACCTGAACGTGTGTTGCAGGTATGGAATCTAAGGTGTACGAGCCCAAGTGGTTCCGGAAGGAGCTGGACAGCACGACCGGGAGTCTGATTCACACATACACAGGGGAGTACTGGAAGTGCAAGGCAGAGCAAGCCTGGGACAGGTGCCCTGATATATTCTTGTGATAGTCACCCACCCGGGGGACGTAACTCTGACTTGCGAATTTGAGCAACTGGGAGATAGTGATTGTTCTTCCAATAATGAGGATATCAGCCATTGAATCATGTAGCCAAGGGTCACGTAAGGGGTGATGTAGACGTCGACGTCGACACAGTCTGCAGCCACTCCACAGACGACGGCGTGATCACAGTCTGCTGCAACAGGGAGCTCTGTGATAGGTTGGCCCCTGTGATGTCACTGCCTTCATAACAAGCCATTGTGGATGTTGATACCTTGTGAAGTGTCTAGCTCCAGCGTTCTTCATACAAGTTCCATAACTTATATGGAGACAAGAGAATGATACAAGAATTGTATTCTGATAATGTTTGAGCAGGTTCAACCGTAGTTATCTCAGAGTTTAGCTGACTGATTATCTTGTATTGCATGGTTATACCACTATAGATTGGTAAGAAGTTTACTCCATGTAAAAGTAATGAATTGATAAAATTCAGAAAATGTTAAAACAGATGAAAAGAGTTGACAGCCAATAAAAAGGAGACTATTTCATGAGACAGGAGAAATAAGTGAGTTACCGTATTCGACGTTATAAGCGCCCGCTGTAATAAGCGCCCAAGGCGATATTTGCTTATATATTGGCTAGTGAACAATCCCAATTATCACCCCTTCCGATTAATCAGTGTACACAGGACATATTTATTTGTGTAAAATATGTGTGTTATTTGCATCCTTAATTATGGGCAATTAAATTCTGGAAAAATATATCTGTTGTATATAAACATTTCAGGCTGTCTGCATAAATTTACGATCTTTCAACTCTGTTGCTTTTCACCAAAATATTCTAATTCGAGCCCCCTATTTCTAATTTTGAGGGCGCCCTGGGTGCTTGTTATGTTGAATACGGTAATTACAGACCTTCCCTTACTGCCTAGGATAGCCTAGTGGTTAAAGCAGTCACTTGTCATACCGAAGACTAGGTTTGATTCTCCACATGGTTACACTATGAAGGGTATGCCTCTGTCATGATATGGATGGAATATTGCTAAGAGCTTTATAAGACCATATTTTATTCACAAGCAGTATATATAAAGGGTTGACTTGAATTTATACAGTATATACATCAGATTCATGCCAAACTGAACTGACATTGTATGAGAGAGAGAATGTAATGAAGTTTGTACCCCTCTTCCTGAAATTGGGAGAATTAAGAGGAAATGTCAGTTCCTTGAATGCATCAGTTGTGATGCTCCCTGTCCGTGGAAAGCCCTAGTGGGCACAAAGACAGTCTCAATGGGTAGACAGGCTTGACGTATGGAGTAAGACTACTTTATTGTTTCTGTGTGATGTTTTGGTACCAATGCCCACATGGGTACAATGTGTGATGCCCATTTCTGGTGTCCCCCGCCATGAAATTGCTGGAATAAAACCATACCCATTCAGTACCAATGTTAATACCTTCAAATTGCTTGATAAAGGTATTAGCATATATACTGAAATGGTACTAAAGCATTTAAAATGACACTTTTGAGAGCTTTCTAAAAACATTTTCACAGATCCGTAAAACCTGGGGTTTCTAGTTGAATTTAGGTGGGTACTGGTACCCTTCAAATACTTTTATTAAAGTTTTTAGATTTACTTACTTTGCCATCTATACACTAATGCTTGTGTAAGTACAATACCAACAGAAGTACAGTATTCAAAAGCTGTAATATAAGTACTGCATAAGTATATATACTATTACTATCTTCTTTTGACAGGGTTAATCAGATATGTCATTCTGTTTAAATACACACTTGACATGAGAATCGGTTGTGTGTCATGAAAAGATAGAAAATATCCCTATGAAAAATGGAATAGTGATACATGTATAAGTAAAGAGTAAAGTACAACAGGATTTCAATATAAGAACAGGTTTGGTACATACGAGTATGTATGTGAGCTCCAGTTAAGGATTTTAATGGATGACATTTTATGTTCAAGTTTTGTCTGGTACTATTTATATATGGCTTCAGTACAGACAACAAGGTGGAAATATTCAGCACAGGTGTGAAAACAGACAAACCTTTAGGCTTAAAAAAATAAAAGAATTGGTTCTCAGGTAATGACTTTTGAAAATATAGTGCAGGCAGGTGGTCGATTTTTTTGGCTTGCTTGTTCAAAGTAGTATGTAACCAAATAAACAGTTGTGTACAATCAGCCTGGGATAGTGCCTCCCTATGTAAACAAGCATACAAACTCCGATTGCCGCCATGACCAGAACACCAGATGCACAGTAAAGCAGTGCGTATGTAAAGGGAAGTAACTGCGTGCTGTATTTGGATTGCATTGTTTTTAAGTATAAGGATTTAAAAAAAAAATTAAATGAAAATAAAAACGAAACATGCTGCAGAGAAGCAAGACTATTATTTTTTTTAAGCCTTAGATATCAGTTGTAAGATATGTGAAATAACTGTATAAATAGTAATATGTTGAGTACAGTAAACCACGGTTATAACGAACTCGAAGGGACCACTAATTTTACTTCGTAATAACCGTAGTTCGTTTTAAGCATATATACGACATTTATACAACAAATGGTCGGGACTGAAAAATAAGTTCGTTATATCAGTCAGTTCGCTATATGCGTGTTCGTTATAACCGTAGTTTACTGTAGTAAGCCTAATTATTGGCCCAAGAATCCTTTTTTATTGTGTGAGTGAGGTCAAGGCTATGACTTGTTTTTACGACTTGGAAACGTGAAAACCCTGTGTAGAAACACCCATCTTACGATGACCGGGTTACGTGTTCACCCCCTCCAGATGAAGTGGTACTCTTTAATCCGACATCGGTTTGTACTGTTTGTCATGCACTGTGTGTGTGTAAAGAGCTTGTAGATACAGGGGTATGTTACCTGGCCTCCAGGCCTGGAAGTGTGTATGTATGAGACTTCTGTAGCACTGTGGTAGTCACAGTGTATTTGTTATGTACATAGAATTCAGAGTGACACTTTGTTGTAGTCATCTTAGTGTACAGATGTCCGCCCAGCCCCGCCTCTTCCCCCCTGGACCCGCCTCTTCCCTCCTGGATTCGCCTCTTCCCTCCTGGACCTGCCTCTTCCTTCCTGGACCCTCCTTGACCCCTGCCTAGTCCCTCCTGGACCTGCCCCTTCCCTGTTTGACCTTACCTTTTCCAACTGGACCGCGCTCTTCCCTCACCCCACGACAAAAATATGTCCTGGTCACGCCCTTAGACAAACCTTCTGCCCTGGCCATAGCCCTCGATAAACCTGCCCTGACCCCACCCACTATGCCCCGCTGTCCTGACCCCGCCCACTATCCTGACCCCACCCACTATGCTACACTATCCTGACCCCACCCACTATGCCCCGCTGTCCTGACCCCACCCACTATGCCTCCACTGTCCTGACCCAACCCACTATGCCCCGCTGTCCTGACCCCACCAACTATGCCCCGCTGTCCTGACTCCACCCACTATGCCTCCACTGTCCTGACCCAACCCACTATGCCCCGCTGTCCTGACCCCACCCACTATGCTACGCTATCCTGACTCCACCCACTATGCCTCCACTGTCCTGACTCCACCAACTATGCCCCGCTGCCCTGACTCCACCCACTATGCTATGTTATCCTGACCCCACCCACTATGCCCGGCTGTCCTGACTCCACCCCTTATGCCTCCACTGTCCTGACCCCACCCACTATGCCTCCACTGTCCTGACCCCCACCCACTATGCCCCGCTGTCCTGACCCCCACCCACTATGCCCCGCTGTCCTGACTCCACCCACTATGCCCCGCTGCCCTGACTCCACCCACTATGCCACACTATCCTGACCCCACCCACTATGCCCCGCTGTCCTGACCCCACAGACTATGCCCTGCTGTCCTGACCCCACCCACTATGCCTCCACTGTCCTGACCCAACCCACTATGCCCCGCTGTCCTGACCCCACCCACTATGCCCCGCTGTCCTGACCCCACAGACTATGCCCTGCTGTCCTGACCCCACCCACTATGCCTCCACTGTCCTGACCCAACCCTCTATGCCCCGCTGTCCTGACTCCACCCACTATGCCCCGCTGTCCTGACCCCACCCACTATGCTACGCTATCCTGACTCCACCCACTATGCCTCCACTGTCCTGACCCCACTGTCCTGACCCCACCCACTATGCCCCACTGTCCTGACTCCACCAACTATGCCTCCACTGTCCTGACTCCACCCACTATGCCCCCACTGTCCTGCCCCCTTGTGGTAGTTGTTGCTATTTATCATGTGTGTAGAATGTGGTTCGTGCAAACAGCTGCTGTGATAATGTTGTGACCATAATCCTGGATGAAGTCTCACGACTAGTGCTGGAGTTCAACATTCAAGTCATTCTGACAACCTGTATAACTGTCACATTATCAGATAATCAATGCTGCTCTGCTGTATAGCACTGTTTGAGAGACTTCCTTCACTGTTCCCAGACTCGTCCAGAAAGGGATATTGGTCCTGCTTCCTGTCTGCATGCATTACTTCCCCACTAGATGTCACTGTTGTAGCAAGAGGCTATGTTATGCAGTCTACACACATGCAACCTTAAGTGTTAGATGGTGTAATTTAGTAGACATAATATATGTATGTATGAGGCTAGTGTGTAAGATATATCTCCTGCTAAGGGAGGTAACTTGCTTTTTCTCCTGGAAAGGGAGATAACTTGTTTTTTCTCCTAGAAAGGGAGATAACTTCTTTCCCAAGGTCACTGTGTGATACTGCTCTTAGCCCTGTGGGCCCTGATCTGCTTTAATACCTGTATCCATGTTCTCACACACCAATGTGGCAATTTATTCACACAGATTCTGTGAATGGTCATTTTCTCACACACATGTATGATGGTTTATTCGCACAGATTCTGGTCAAAAGTTTACAGCTTGTTCTCAGAATCCGTGACAGTCAATTCTGGTCTCCAAATCTGTTACTGTAAATGAATACAGGTTGTATGTATGTAACTGATTGGGTGACCACTTGGTATCAGTGATGAATGTACATCAAGGATACTCTTGATTATGTAACGATCATGTAGGATATGATTATAATATGATCATTAGGGACTGGTCACTTATTATAGGAGGTTTCGGGGCAGGGGATGAGATTGGAGGGGTTGGGTGTTTGCCAAAATTTATCAAGGGGGTTTGGGGAGGGGCATTAAAAAAATTTCTTGGGTGTGTGTGATAAATGTTACATAAAATAGGATAAATATATTGTTTCCAAAGACCAATCCCCATCCTCCATTAATAAAATGACCAGTCTGTTGTGATTTCTGCCATTGTAAAGAAATGGACTATGAAATGTAAGTCTTAAATCCATTACTAGACCGCTGTAAGCAGCTGTATCATGACACTATTGACATTGAACAGTTCATAAGTAGTTGATATATTGTCGTATCAACTGCCACATTTCTACGCTAGTCGATTCGTGTGGGATCCAGTGACAAACCTCGATATTATTCTATGTCAGTGTAGCCCTGTATGGTGGTAATGTTGTGTTTTATGTTAACCAATATTTGCCAAATTTGATACCATTCATGTTTGCTGAAGAAATACTTATGGCATCTCTCTATGGGAGATAACTCCAGTCATCAAAAATATCATTGTGTGACGTTATGCAAGTTCCTGTGTGATATCACACATATCATACTGGTTTGCTGCCTTTTTTAGCATCAGAAAAATATTACAATCTGTATGAATTGTAATAACAGGAGATTTGCAAAGTGATTTTTTATAAGCTCCTGACTGAGTGGAATTGAATTGCCCTTGATTTTACAGGTATTATATGATTTGGCATTATGGAATGAACTTCCTAGATACTGAGAGACTTGCGGGTCATTTGTATACTCTTCAACATCTGTAAGGAAGCAGTCTGACCATGAACATGCTGATCCCTAGCATATGTTGAGTAGTATAGTCACTATTTGGTTGCCTTATATTTCCTGGACACACTCTCTGTGCATAAGGGACAAAGCTCCTTGAATGTGGAGCTATCACTCAGCACATCTGTATATAGCTGCATGTTGTGTCATTTCCATTGCCTGTTCATAGTCCAACTGTTCATAGTCCAACTGTATCAATCACACAAACTGAGTGGTGGAAGCTGGATTCACCTTGCGGGTTATGCTGAAGACATCTGCTTGCTGTGTATTAAAATACAAGAGCTGTCTATGCAAGGACTTGTACACTCCTACTCCAAGGTTCCTGATAGCCAGGTTATGGGAATTCAGACCTTTGAGCTTCAATTCTGACATTGAGAAATTTGTTTGCCCTATCGATGAGATGATGTTGACGTCATCAGAAAAGTCAGGATATATATTTTGACAAAAATGGTGTTCACCGAATGAGCAGAGCTCAGAATGTGAAGCTGGTCTCCCACACTCAGCACTGATATTCCGGATATGCTTGGTATGTTCAGTCCTACTGGAGAGTACGAAGAGACTCATGGTATGCACCACACACAGCTACTAATGTGCATGTTGATTCCCGATGTGTTCCAGCCACTGCTACAGTTATGGAGAGGTTCTTGGTATGCTCCAAGCACTGTTATGGGTATTCAAGGAGGTTCTTGGTATATTCCATGCACTGCTACAGGTACACAAGGAGGTTCTTGGTATGTTCCAAGCACTGCTATGGGTATTCAAGAAGGTTCTTGATATGCTCCGAGCACTGCTACAGTTATTGAGAGGTTCTTGGTATGCTCCAAGCACTGAGACAGGTATAAAGGATCATGGTATGCCCTAAGCACTGCTATGGGTATACAAGGAGATTCTTGATATACTCCAAGCACTGCTACAGTTATTGAGAGGTTCTTGGTATGCTCCAAGCACTGCTAGGGGTATATTAGGTTCCTGGTATGATCCAAGCATGGGTCTACAAGGTTCCTGGTATGCTACATGCTACATTGATATTCCTGATATGCTTTAAGCACTGCTATGGATGTATACAAGGAGAGTCCTTGTGTATCCCAATCACAGCTATTGGAATATGGGAGGACATTCCTTTATGTATCCTGTAATGAGCTTGGATTAATGATTTGACCCTGGCACAAGTGTTCGTGTAAATGAATTGATTCCAGATAAACCCCATACACAGCTACTGGTGAATATGAGGAGATTCACACTATATCCAATACACAGTTACTGGTGCGTATGAAAAGATTCTCGATTATTCCACGCAGCTACTGGTGTATACAAAGAATTTCTCACTATATCCAATACACAGTTTCTGGTGTATATGAGATGATTATTGATATGTCCCACACAACTACTGGTATATGCGAGGACATCCTTGCTATATCCCTCATATCCACCAAAACCTGAGTTACCAGTGTATGTGATGTACGAATGTCTGTAAGCTTCTGGTTTGACCTGTACCACGTGGTGGCCCATGCAAGTCCAGCCTGTTTATGTAGTGTGTGCTGCCTGATCGTCAAGGTGTCAAGCAATATATGGTCCCTGAGGGAAAACTTGTTAATGAGTAAATTCATCACATGTACTGATTGTTTGTTTTTATTTCTTAAAATATGGATCATGTTCCGGATACTACAGGATGTGGAGCCCAGAGCAATTCACAATCTCAGAGAGGGACATGAATTAAATGGACAGACCTGATGTGGTTAAATTATTGCTTGTGTGATTTTCATAAGGTCACAATAAATTGATCAATTATTTTTCCAAATCACTGCCTCCTTTTTTCACAATGCATAAGGGGCAATGGGTGGCCCAGTCGTCTAAGGCGCCGCGATTCGCTGTGCAGAGTTGCGTCCCTTGGGCACGCCAGAAACCTATGATTGTGGGTTCGAATCCCGGTTGGCCCTGATTATGTTTCTAGGTTTGTCAGCACCATACCCGTGCTCGTGGGTTTCACCGAAGTGGTAAACGTCTGAGACCTGCATCACTTCGCGCTTTCCTCCCACATTAAGCTGACACGCCGCGATATAACTGGAATATTGTTAAAAGCGGCGTTAAACCCAACTCACTCACTCACTCACAATGCATAAAGATAATCTAAGATGAGGATGTATGTATTATGGACCATGTTTAGATACAAACTAAAAACTACTAGTAAAACAGCTTGGTTTGATTCACAGGCAACTTGAAAGTAAAACAAACATTAAAGGATAACATATTTATGTACATTGAATTACACGTGAAGGTATTGTCCTCCAAATTACCTTTTCAACAGTGGTCTTGGTAGTTATGATTGGTGTTCCATGTATACATTTCAGGGTCCACATTTTCTGGGATAACATTTCAGCTTCAAAGATCAGTTTGTTGTCACCTGATAAACTACTTGCCAAGTTTCCGTCCTTGAATAATATGATTAACACACACAGGACAAGCAATTTGGAATGGTTGCCCAGAAATAGTGAAAACAGTTTGGGGAGGGACAATGTTATTGTGCATTAACATTTCCGTGAGATTCACATGTTCATCACACATCAAGATCACTGTTGGAAATCTTGCATATCTATTACAAAAATATTTTATCCCTTTCAACATTTCTGTAAAGACAGTTTGTTTATTTGTTGTTTAACCCCACACTTAGCAATATTCCAGCTATATGACGGTGGTCTGTAAATAATCGAGTCTGGACCAGTGGATCGACGACCAGTGATTGCCGTCATGAGCATCGATCCACGCAATTGGGATACGATGACATGCATAAACCAAGTCAGCGCGACTGACCACCTGATCCCGTTAGTCGCCTCCTACGACAAGCATAGTCGCCTTTTACGGCAAGCATGGGTTGCTGAAGACCTATTCTACCCTGGATCTTCATGGGTCCTCTGTTAAGACAATTAATAATAAACTTTCAACCAGACAGTTCCAAAATACTGCTCAAAAGGGTTAAAATAATTTTTGGCCAGGGAATCTCATCTCTCAGTGAAACATTTGGATTGACAGATACAGTATGTACAAATGGATGATAACTCGTCAACACAACTGATGCATAACCTGTGAGGATTCTGGGTTCTAATTGGTCCAAGGCCCCGTTCCACAAAGCGATTGTAGTGCTACGACTGTTGTCAGTCTATGTTAAAGTATGAGAGCTACGATCGTCTTAGAGCTACGATTGCTTTGTGGAACAGGGTCCTGGTTGGTTATAAGCAGCTACTAATGGATCGGGTTCTCAGACTCAGTGACTTGGTTCATGGTGTTTTAACATGCCCTGACCTCATTGCTCGCATCAATCACTGGATTGTCTGGTCCAGATTCCATTATTTACAGGCAGATGTTGTGCAGCTGGAATATTGCTAAGTGCAGCTTTAAACAAATAACCCGCACACGCATTGACAGATTGCTTGTTTTATGATCAATGTTCATGCAAACTTTAAATAGAAAGAACTGAGTAAGTCAAAACAACATATCCAGTAACATGTCATATGCTTAAAATGTATAATCATGATACTACACTTTAATTCTTTAATTAAGTTCTTCAAGAATCTCTGAGAGTGAGTGCGTTCGGTTAAACGCTGCTTTTAACAGTACTCCAGTTATTTGTCAGCTTAATGTGGGAGGACAGCCTGAAGTGATGCAGGTCTCAGACGTTTACCACTTCGGTGAAACCCACGAGCACAGGTATGGTGGTGACAAATCTAGAAACATAATCGATCATAGGTTTCTGGTTCGCCCAAGGAATGCAACTCTGGACAGGAAATAACGGCGCCTTAGACTACTAGGTCACCCGTGCCCCCTGGAAGTTTCAGAGTATTAACACTGCTGTTAAATATACTGCTTTGTGACACTTAAGGCACTGGTGGTCATGAATTTTGGACCCGTGAAGATCCGGGGTAGAATAGGTCTTCAGCAACCCATGCTTGCCATAAAAGGCAACAAACGGGATCGGGTGGTCAGACTCGCTGACTTGGTTGATGCATGTCATTTTATCCCAATTGCATGGATCGATGCTCATGGTGTCAATCACCATAACGCTCTTTTCTTGTTTAGTGACTCGATTATTTACAGACCGCCGTCATATAGCTGTAATATTGCTGAGAGCAGCATTAAACAACAAACAAACCAAATCATGAATGTTGCCACTTAGGTGAAAAACAGAATGGGTATGGTGCTGGCAGACCAAGGACAATTAGACATTCAGTGTTATAACCCATGAATCCTGGTCTCTGAGGACACAACTCGGCATGGAATTCTTGCATCTCAGTACCTGGGTCGACAATTCCCCCTTCATGAAAGACATTGGTTGGCACACATGTTAACAACGAATTGCATCATTTTTCAAGTGGTGGCTTTCCTCGTAGCTCTTGATGTCCGTGAGCAAAGTCACATTTGTCCGCTGAGCGAGGGCAGCCGTCGGGGTGGTTGTCATGGAACCAGCACAGCGACGTCTTGTGATGGTCTGCTGCTGCCAGTTTCTTGGTCTTTGCTTTGCGGGACTGACTCCAGGGGTTGGCTTGGGAGAAGTCGCGGAGACGAACCCGGCCTCCAGATACTGCAGTGGATTGAGATTTTAAAAACAGGTCTGGACGCACACAGAAGTCCGACACATTTGTCAGATGTAATAAAACTGTTACAATGGCTACAAGAACATCCACCCAAAAGGTACATACAGGCTTGTGTAGGCTTTGAAATAGGATGTGTATATTATCTTAAAAACCAATAATTTAGTTTAAAGTCTATCACATAAATGTTTAAAGGGGAAGTGTACACGCAAAAATCACTTTCTTTCTTTTTCTAAACAAAACGCAATTTTAGAATTAGTTAGTATCTGTGTTTGAAAATATACACCCATTTTTTCTCACAGTGAAAGTAGGAAGCTCACAATAGTGTTAAAATGATATGCCGTTATGAGGCCTTCGTTTTACGAGCAAAATAGGCCTGAGTTATCCCCCTTAGATTATGACGTAATTGGTGCTAATTCAACTGGGTCCCTGTCTATTCTCAACGCAAAAGATATCAAGGACCAGTTTTTATGTAAAACAACATGGTCTACGACACACTCCGGCGCAGTTGTGACTCAGTATAACACAATTCTGGCTGGCATCTGAGACGCTAAAATCACAAAACTGTACCTACACCACGTGAAGCGGCTCTAACAAAGCATGATGACGTCATAATGTTTATCAATTGGCACCAATGACGTCATATTGCAAGGGGCATAAGCCATGGTGTTTTTGTTATGGAAATAGAACACTTAGTAAATGTGAAAAATATAAATCGTTTTAATGCAAAAAATATCTTAATTAAATATGATGTTTTTATATTTTTGTCTATGACACTTCTATGTTAACACTTTTAATGTGGAAAAAGTACAAGAAAAATTGGTTCATTTCCGTGTGAACTTGCCCTTTAAGCATAGATATTTAATATCAAGAAAGGGGGCACGGGTGGCCCAGTCGTCTAAGGCGCCGCGATTTGCTGTGCAGAGTTGCGCCCCTTGGGCACGCCAGAAACCTATGATTGTGGGTTCGAATCCCGGTTGGCCCTGATTATGTTTCTAGGTTTGTCAGCACCATACCCGTGCTTGTGGGTTTCACCGAAGTGGTAAACGTCTGAGACCTGCATGCATCACTTCGGGCTTTCCTCCCACATTAAGCTGACACGCCGCGATATAACTGGAATATTGTTAAAAGCGGCGTTAAACCCAACTCACTCACTCACTCACTCACTCATATCAAGAAAAGTAACCTGGCTCTGCTACAGCTGCTGAAGGTGACGTGATACAGATAACTCGGATAGCCAAGCTAGGGTACATAACCTGGGATTACCCAGTCCAATTAAAACTACATGCATAAACACTAGCTTACCTTGAAAAACACTGTTATGGTTCCTGAGCAGCGTTTGTAGGCCTCCGCTCTCTGCCTTCAACTGTTGTAGAATGTCCTTGTCAAACAGCTGTGCCACCTCGCACAACGGCAGGCTACCTGGGTGGGAGAGAGTGAGGTGGGGAGATATGAGGTGTCATTTTACTATGTATTCCCTAATTTATATCACTTAAACATGTATTAATATCATAAATTTGATTTTTAGATATCAATTAATACATTTACTGGTAAGCCAACACCACTTGGATCAGTATTCCAGTAATATCATGTGTGTCAGTTTAATGTGGGAAGAAAGCCTGAAGTGATGCAGGTCTATGACTTCGGTGAAACCCACAAGCATGGGTATGGTGCTGACAAACTTAGAAACATAATCAGGGCAAACCGGGCTTCAAATCCAAGATCACAGGTTTTTTGGATCTGCCCAAGGGACACAACTCTGCAGCATGCCCAAGGGATGCAACTCTGCAGCATGCCCAAGGGACACAACTCTGCAGCATGCCCAAGTGGCATAACTCTGTACAATGAATTGCAGAATCTGAGATGACTGGGGCACCCGTTCCCCCTTATCTGTCGTATCTACCACACTCCAAATTAATGGATACATTTCTTTGTGCTTCTCTGTGAATTATAAATAATAGATTTCAAGACATTTAGCCATTTGATAATCTAAACAAGACATTGTGCTGACAGGACACCCCTATTCTGAACAGTCAATTGATCCGTTTATGTGAGACAACGAAAACAATTTATTGATATCTAACATTCAACATTATGTGAAGGATAAAGCATGGCTCAGTGGTAATGGTCTCAGGTATCAACAATTGCCAAGCCAGGGTACATAACCTGGGATTACCCAGTCCAATTAATACTACGAGGCAATTGGGTATCGGCATTGTAAGTTCTCAGAGCTTGGATTGAATACTGAACATTGGATGTTTGAAACACCAAGTTCAAATTTCATCTACTTCTCAACTCATCCGGTCTAATGAGGAAAAAGTAAAACTTCCCAAGAGGTTATTACAAGATAGGAAGACACCTACAATACAATAGGCAAAAGTGGCAGTAGGTTTATGATTTGAGATATAATGGATTATTGATATCACAAATTTGATGATAACATATCACTAAACAAGAATACATCATTATCACTTACCCTGCCATGGGGCACTACAGAATTTGAGTTATTTATCTCAATGCTGATTTTCTTATATCATGCACTGCAAACCATGGCAAACAGGATGTACAAAATCTCCAGCATGGAGAAAGGGAGGATAACTCCGTAAAAGACAAGGAAACACAAAAAATAATTTTTTAGAAATACCAAAACATAACAAGGTACCTGTACGTCATGTGTTAGATAGATATGCAAAGTTTCGTGATAAAATATTAAACAATTTCCGAGTTATGCTCTGGAAATGAATGCTGCACTTGTTTGAGTCTGAGTCCAGTTTATTGCCATGGAAACACAAACAATTTTTTTTTTAGAAATGTCAAAACACCAAAGGGCAGTAGTTCAGCATGTGTTAAATACATATGCAAAGTTTCGAAATAAACATTAAATGTTTTCTAAGATATTATTTAAATCAGTAAATCAAATTTGTGATATCAAAAAACACTTCTGATTTTTAGATTTCACAAAGTACATCTTTTAATATATATTCAGATGTGTGATATCAATAATTCATTCTGAGATTCATTTTGGTGATTTACTGATATAAAATTGAATAAACAGTGAAACAGACATTATACAGAGGTGGATAGTGAATGAGTCAATGATAAGCACCCTCAGTAAAGTAAACAATTGTGTCTGGACCAGACAAACCAGTGACTGAAAGCACGAGCATTGATCTACACCATCTGGGAACAAAGACATTCAATTAGCCAAGTCACCAAGTCTCACCCCCTGATCCATTTTAGTTGAATCTAAGGCAAGCATGAGTTACCATGGTTACAAGGGACAAGTTCTTCCCTGGAATCCCCATGGAGCTGAAGTTATAGATGTGAAGGATCGAGATTAACTGAACCATATGACAAGTATATAATCTGTCATAACCAAGTCTTATCAGGCATCGAGGTTAGGCCTTGTACATGTCTGAATCCGACAGTGTAGCATTACGATTGTTGTAACTATGACAGTTTAACATGGACTTTGGACAGTCATAGGACTACTATTAATTTATGAAATGGTGTGCAGATAATTAAATATCTTACCTCCTTTTCTCCACCATTTTCCCTCGTCAAGGGAGACAACCTCTCCATCTGGTGCCACAAGTATCTTCTCAAATACAGTCTTCACAATGGCCTGTTTGGTTGCTGTGGCAACTTTCTGACAATTCCGAACTGGCTCCTCACTCTGCCTAGGTTCAAAGTTGGCGGACCATCCCTTCCCAGACTCGGACACATCCAACCGTGGCCTTTTAGAACCTGGAGAGTTGGGTTCAGGGTCGTCTTGTACACATCGGTTCTGAACGTAGAGTGTTCGTGTGGTGTCCTGGAGGGTCTCCTCTTTCTCAGTGTATGTTCTCCCTCGACCGATAAAACACACCTGAAACATGCCATCAGATCATCATTGGATGGTTCAGTGGCTGACCGTCCACCACATCATCGTGGACCCCAATCAGGCTACACACAAACCTTCATTATACTCGCATCTTATATTGGCATTAGCCTGGCATTAAAACATTACCATTTGACAAGTCTGTATTTTTATAGTTGGATCCATTGTTCCACCCCTAACACTTACCCTCTTCGTTGAGGGTATCCTGAGAGTGTCCTCCTCCACCTGGAAGCCACACACCTCCCCCACCTCCTTCACAAAGTTCAGGTATGTCCGGTATGGGGAAGTACCCTTTTCTCTCTCACTGAACTTCTTGTCAAAGTCATGAAGACAGCAGGGGAGGACAAAGTAACAGCAGTTGTAGGAAGATCTGTTGAATACAGGGAGGACAAAGTAACAGCATGTAAAGGAGAATATTTTGATTACAGGGAGGGCAAAGTAAAAGCAGCTGTAGTTGGATCGGTTGACTACAGGGAGGACAAAGTAACAGCAGGTGTTGCAGAAAATCTTGAATACAGGGAGGGCAATGTAACAGCAGCTGCAGGAAGATCTGGGGAATACAGGGAGGACAAAGTAACAGCAGCACCTGCAGTAGTAGGATCTGTTGAATACAGGGAGGAAAATGTAACAGTAGCTGTTGGGAGGATCTGTGGAATACAGTCAAGTACTGTATAATAACTCCTCCTAGATTCTCAGGTAATTGTTAGCATTATTTCAACGAACCAAGACAAGATTTGTTTCTTTTTCTTTGCGATTTTTTCAATATTTATAATGTCCGAATGGGGGCAGGTGACTTTGAAGAAGGGCATGCAACATTTATGGATCACCTGCCCGACTGTCTTGTTGAGTTTTAAAATAATTTCAAACACTGTTGCATTCATGACAGAACAGGGTGATTTGATCAGACAGCTAATTTTAACATAGTGTCATGTGAATTTCCGGTAGGCACAGAACAAAGACATGGCAGAGATATACACAGTCCATGGATATACCTTGCAGCCATAAGAGGTATCCATGGCGTCAGCTCATCACTATGGTTACCAATCAACCAATCGTATGTTGGAAACAAGCTGTCTGCTGATGGAATAACAGTCTGTTCCTGGAATAATGTAATGGGAGAAATCATTAAAAGGTGCTTTTCATAATGAAAATATTTTTAAGAGATGTGAACTCACGGGTTATTTGTTTTGTTTGTTGTTTAAAGCTGCACTCAGCAATATTCTAGCTAGTCAAGTCTCTTTAATCTCTTTAGTCCAACACTCTTTAATCCGACAATCGGCTGTTTCCGACACTAATGATGGGAACCGAATAAACCAGTGCTATTTAGACCTGTTAATCTGACAGTCTCGTACTCCGACTCAGACACACCTTATTTGCAACGAATTACCGAAATCACTCATTAATCAGTCCCGTTAATCCAACACAGTGATCAGCGTACCCCGTGGTTATCTTCCCGCAAGTACACAGCCCGTGTTTTGATGCGAGACGAGTCAGCTGGTAGCTGCATATTACAACAGCTGCAGAGATAAACTTGCTTAACAATAAACAATTAATGCTTTAAATAAGGAAAACACGATTAATCCCATGCTTGGATTACCTCAATCTCATTAAAATCAGATACAAGTTCTCGCTATCGCCGAGGACATCCCATTACAGGTCATGTCAGAACAACCTTTCACGCACTATGACCGACCAATGAAATGACTAACAGGAAGTCAACGTTAGCCACTAAGAAAGCTGCTTTCTTAAGCTTTGCGGTACCAGTTTCAAACTGGCAACTTCCATTCCAGACTATGCTTTTTAAAGTATTTTGAATGAGTCTTACAGTCCGTAGTGGTTGTTTTATGTTAAGCTTCAGAGGTTGCATGATTAGAAAACATATTCCGCTAACAATGTAACATAACAATATGAATATTTCTTATTACGTGTTTGTATCATTATCTATCGTGTAGATTCCGATTTTCAATCACCAACGTTGATACTACTTAATTTTGTTTATCCGACATACTCGTTAATCCGACATAATCATATAACTTCACACATTACTCACTCACTCCACACATAACTCACTCACTTCACACGTAACTCACTCACTCCACACATAACCCACTCACTCCACACATAACTCACTCACTTCACACATAACTCACTCACTTCACACATAACTCACTCACTTCACACATAACTCACTCACTCCACACATAACTCACTCACTTCACACATAACTCACTCACTCCACACATAACTCAGTCACTCCACACTTAACTCACTCATTTCACACATAACTCACTCACTCCACACCTAACTCACTCACTCCACACATAACTCACTCACTCCACACATAACTCACTCACTTTACACATAACTCACTCACTTCACACATAACTCACTCACTCCACACTTAACTCACTCATTTCACACATAACTCACTCACTCCACACACAACTCACTCACTCCACACATAACTCGGTCACTCCACACATAACTCACTCACTTCACACATAGCTCGCTCACTTCACACATAACTCACTCACTCCACACATAACTCACTCACTTCACACATAACTCACTCACTCCACACTTAACTCACTCACTCCACACATAACTCAGTCACTCCACACTTAACTCACTCACTCCACACATAACTCACTCACTCCACACATAACTCACTCACTTCACACATAACTCACTCACTTCACACATAACTCACTCACTCCACACTTAACTCACTCATTTCACACATAACTCACTCACTTCACACATAACTCACTCACTCCACACATAACTCACTCACTTCACACATAACTCACTCACTCCACACATAACTCACTCACTTCACACATAACTCACTCACTCCACACATAACTCAGTCACTCCACACTTAACTCACTCATTTCACACATAACTCACTCACTCCACACCTAACTCACTCACTCCACACATAACTCACTCACTCCACACATAACTCACTCACTTTACACATAACTCACTCACTTCACACATAACTCACTCACTCCACACTTAACTCACTCATTTCACACATAACTCACTCACTCCACACACAACTCACTCACTCCACACATAACTCGGTCACTCCACACATAACTCACTCACTTCACACATAGCTCGCTCACTTCACACATAACTCACTCACTCCACACATAACTCACTCACTTCACACATAACTCACTCACTCCACACTTAACTCACTCACTCCACACATAACTCAGTCACTCCACACTTAACTCACTCACTCCACACATAACTCACTCACTCCACACATAACTCACTCACTTCACACATAACTCACTCACTTCACACATAACTCACTCACTCCACACTTAACTCACTCATTTCACACATAACTCACTCACTTCACACATAACTCACTCACTCCACACATAACTCACTCACTTCACACATAACTCACTCACTCCACACATAACTCACTCACTCCACACATAACTCACTCACTTCACACATAACTCAATCCCTCCACACATAACTCACTCACTTCACACATAACTCGCTCACTTCACACATAACTCACTCACTCGACACATAACTCACTCACTTCACACATAACTCACTCACTCCACACATAACTCACTCACTCCACACATAACTCACTCACTCCACACATAACTCCCTCACTCCACACATCACTACATAACAGTTTACACAGTGATTACCTTGAGCCTTGTTTCAGATCCATACATGTCCCAGATACCTCTCCTCCGGATGTCCAGCCCCAGGCCATGGTGCTGCAACACAGTCGCTCCAGTTACTACCACATCATCAACTACCCTACGGGAACAATTTCTCATATATCTTTTTACAGAAAAGGTTATGTACATACTTAAATCACAGAGCAGTATTCCCATGTCTAAGAATCACTGTGAAAGTCCAGACTGTCCTGAGACTGTATAGTGTAGCAAATGTAGGTGAGGTGAAATTGGGTTTAACGTTGCGTCCAAGATTATTGCACTTATATAGCGACGTGCATGCACGTGTGTGTGTGTGGCTGCTTGTACTATTCCGGACTGATGCCAATTTATAGTGCTAGCTCACTGAGATACCATGCCGCAGTTTAACATGAATACCCCACTCAGACACAGTATACTGACTCCGAGCCGACCAGTCCTTGTTTTAGCCCCTTAATGTCGAGCGCCAGACAGGGTAACAACAAGTACCATCTTTTAACGTCTTTTGGTATGACGCGGCCTGGGATCGAACCCCGGACCTTCCGCTCTTCGGGCAGACGCTCTACCACTAACCACGGAGGCGGCAGTAGCAAATGTAGGGTAAGGCTGCCACCTATACATTATCACAGTCGTTAGATGGGAACCAGCTTTCAGTAAAATTACACAGTAATTGAGGTAAATATAACAGGTAATTAATTAGCATTCAAAACTAAGAGCTCTTATCTGACAAATGGGGAAAAAAACGATTACTTTATTCAAATTTCTTATTTGTGACCAACCATGAGTTAAGGGACCTTGTGGATGAAAAAAATTTTTTTGACTTTTCATAATATTTAAAAACTACAGCATATTCGGAACACAAAAATATAATTGACAAGCTTCAATTCATATTTATTACAGAGATACATGACATCACACATATTGCTCTTCACTGAAGTAAGTTGACGTCAAACGTCTTTATGACGTCATGGCACAATTGTATCCTAGCACCCAGAAGGTCATTTTTCTGCTGGTTGGTCAAATTCACTAAAATTCAGAGGTATTAATATTGTATTCAACACAATAACTATAAAACTAAGTATCAAAACCACATCCTCTGTACTTCACCTGCTCTCTGTGAAATAAAAGTCACTTCTATAAAGCCATAGCATTTGTCATAACTACAACATGAAATTTTATAATTCCAATTTGGGAATTTTTAATGACATTTGCTTGAGACATAGGGTGCTTATCAGCCTCAGGTGTAGATAAATCCTGGTAAACCTCCTAGTGATGTTAGCCTCACCCCTTCAGCCGCCAGTATGTGCACCAGGAGGCCATTGCCACACCCAAGGTCCACAAATGACTGCCGCTGTGTCACGCCTCTCCTCTCCCGGTCCGCCTTCCATATCAGCTGATGCAACAAGACATTATTCACACTATTAGGTTTTTGAAATTATTCTCGTGTAATTGTATGCAAGCAACTCAAAACTAATTGGATAAAGGTGATATATTTGATGCAAATGTGCAGCATCTCTGAAACTTTCTCTAAGCCACTCCCATACCCCTTATATCCCACCGTGTTTTCTTAATAGGGCTGGCTATCGATTAGATCATAGGTCGATAATTGTTAACGAAATATTAATCAATTATCGATAAATATCAGAGAAGTAACTTTGAGCAAATATGCAAAAAGCTGAGGGAGTAAACAACATATTTCACATCACTGGAGAGTGGTGACAGATTTATGTATGTATAGATTACTTTGTGGACATTTAAGATATGACAAAATCAGTCGCTTTCCATCTTCGGCAATGGACAAAAACAAGTCTGCTCTAGCAAATTGAAACTTTATTTCATCACAATAGTTTATGTAAGATATACATGATATAGATGACACAATTTTCACATCGACAATCGTTAATATTTCTTCTCATTGACAATAATTCTGATCATAGAACGTTTAAGCTAGCCCTATTGCTTAATCTTTCCATTCCCACTACATCAACTAATATTTTCTAGCCTTTGTTTGTTTGTTGTTTAGGATTTGTTTAACTTAAATTAAATCAAACTTGTTAGGTCTTGCACCAGCCTAGTCAAGCTTCAAATGTTTTTGTTGTTACTGCCACACTTAGCACTATTAGCAATATTGCAGCTAGATAATTAGGATCAGTAAATAATCAAGTCTGGACCAGGCAAACCAGTGATTAACATCATGAGCATCAATCTACACTACCAGATTACAATGACATGTAATCAACCAAGTCCACAAGCCTAACCACCCAATCCATTTAGTCGCCTATTAGGACAGGCACAGGCGGTTTAACCTCACTGTGCCCTCACCCCAAGTGTTGTTATAGTGAATTATTGGGGATTAAGAGACACAGATCACTTAATCGCTTGGTATAGTCTGTGTCATTAAAGTGAACCCTCTTCTGAGGGTGAACTCTGTTCAATTAGTGTCTAACTGTTATTTGATGATAATAGGTGAACAGTTTTCTCATGTACATGATTAAATGCATAGGGATCATTAAAATTATATATGAGTGATTGATATCAATCTTGGAAGTGTATAAAATGGCATTTGCAAGTCATACTGCCATAACAAAATGGCTAATGCTCAAGTTAATGTGTTCGATTTGTTGCTAACTACCAAAGTGGACAGAACTTAGTTTTCAACAGACACAGATTCCGAATTAAGAACAGAAGAAACACCACCATACATTGGAAGGACTGTCCGGTGACAATCAACACTGCACACATTTTTTAAATCTGACAGATAGTAATTTTCTCTACATAGACATGCAACAGACTATAGGTAATCCCCCTATTTAACTTCTTTGAGTGGCATTTAGAAGTTGGAATGGTAACTAAGACAAAAAAATTATGGATGAGCAACTTCTTTATCACAATTGGGCGACATTTCGGTGTAGATTCTAACACTGTTATCAAGCAAATGATGTCCCTGCTAGGGACCAATTCTCCACGGGGGTCACCTGTCCAACCTCTAATCACAGTCCGTTTGGCTCCATATGAGAACGATGAATTGCAAAATAACTCAAAATTGGGAGTAGTCAATTAAGTGTCAGTACGGTACACCGTAGACGGCTGTTCCTCCTACTGTCGTGCCCCCTCCGGGGAGGATGTCAACTTGTACACGTAACAACAAAAATAACAAAGAGCAGATATTGTTGGGTACAGAGTAATCATTGCCTTGTAACATATTGACATTTAATGGACTTCCCGATTTGGGGTTATTTTGCCCCATCGTTCTCATTTGGTGCCAAAAGAGACCATATAATATATTATATGGTCTCTGGTGCCAAACAGACAACCTTTATTTCATCCATCCCTGCTTTCAACTTCGAAAAAAACTAAATATTACTGGTGAAATAGCATCTACAAAAAGATAATGTGACACACTCGTACAGCATAAAAAGACAATACCTTCAACAAACAAAAATTAATTCATAAGTGTATATTACCAGAAGGTAGGTTGCTATGGCGACATCCTCGTACACAAATTTCTTTGGGTCTGTCTTCTCTGGCCACTTCTGTGAAAAGAAAAAAGAAATACACATTTACTGAATGCCTGATTTAATGAAGGAAGAGAATTTATGAATGTCAACTTCTTTATTATCATGATTATGAGGAACACAACGTTTCAGAGTATATGCTTACTCCTTCATCAGGTCAGTGGATGCCAATTACCAATCAGTGATAATTTAGTTCTGGTGAGGTGAGGTGAAATGGGGTTTAACGTCGCGTCCAAGATTATTGCACTTATATAGCGACGTGCATGTACGTGTGTGTGTTTGTGTGGCTGCTTGTACTAGTCCGGACTGATGCCGATTTATAGTGCTAGCTCACTGAGATACCATGCCGCAGTTTAACATGAATACCCCACTCAGACACAGTATACTGACTCCAAGCCGACCAGTCCTTGTTTTAGCCCCTTAATGACGAGCGCCAGACAGGGAAACAACAAGTACCATCTTTTAACGTCTTTTGGTATGACGCGGCCAGGGATGGAACCATGGACCTTCCGCTCTCCGGGCAGACGCTCTACCACTAGACCACGGAGGCGGTCCATGGAAACAATTAACTCCCAGACCCTGCACCACAACTTCCCGAACCGCAATCAGGCCAAACTCGTTAATACTTCCAACGTGGGAATGTTTATTGGCGGAGGGCGACATAGACATAGAATACATTTTGTCGAGAGTAAATACATTAACTCTGATAACACCGAAATAGAAAACTGAAATAAAACTGAATACAAATATCCATTGCTATTGTCATACCTAAGAACGACACTTTAAAAACAAATGTGTATGTAAGTAGTATATACCACTAGACCACTAGACCACGGAGGCGGTCAATTTAGTTCTGGCTTCTAGTTGTCCATAACTATCAACTATCAGCGCTAATTACTGTAAAGTGTGGGCTTCCATTGTCTATTGCTAATCACCCATCAGCTCCAATTATCTGTCGGCTTCCTTTGTTAAGTTTCCACCTTTTGTTATCTTATTACTTTTGTTGTTCTTACATTGACATATATATGCTCTCTGCCTCATAGCATTCATTCACCTGATGAAGGAGTAAGCACATGCTCCGAAATGTTGTGTTCCTCATAATAAAGAAGCTGACATCCATAAATTCTCTTCCTTATGTGTATCACTTCTAAATGCCTTTCAAAGACTTATTTTAATAAAGTCAGAATGGAATCATGCAAAACTAGCACAATAAGAACTGAAACTATTAGCATGACAAGTCTTCCCCATTCCAACCGACTCACTTCAACAAATGGATGACCATATTTGACCTTGAGATCATTGTACAGTCTGTTGTACTCGTCAACAGGCACCAGTCTAAGAGACGAGGTTGCTGTCCGTAGCGTCTCCTCCTGACCCCATCTCACAATCTTCTGCAGCAGAACATCGCTCAGCCATCTCCAGGTCACATGACCTGCATCTTTGTTAGATCTCACAGAAAGCTGCACCCTGAAGATAGAACACTCTTGTATCTGTTTTGACCATAAACCTGTATCCTGCTGCGAATGTATCTATATCATACACTTATCCCTTATAATGCTGTACTGTATATGCTTGTGGTGTCCCTATCTTGTTGTGTTTCTGTGGAGTGAGTGAGTGAGTGAGTGAGTGAGTGTCGGTATGACACTGCTTTAAATAGTATTTCTGTTACCGTATTCGACCCAATAAGCGCCCAGGGCGCTTAAAATAAAGACAGAAGGGGTGGGCGCTTATTGGGACCAATTCAGAGTCAAATTGGTGTAAATTCATCAGTCAGCCTATCGATATTCTTCTGTTGCTGGGGGGCTAGAGATAAACTGTTACTTACGTTTTACTGGTGAACATCTCCTCATTAACCGACTACAAAAGATTCTTGACCGTATGTAAAAAACAGGTGAGTAAATCTTACTAGGGCATCCGGGAAAAGGTGGGGGGGGAGCTCTTATTTGGACATGGGCGCTTATTGGGTCGAATACGGTATATCATGGCATGTCTGCTTAAATGGGGGATGACCCCTAGACATGATGTAGGTCTCTGTAAACCATGGCTGTGGCGTCGACAAATAATGAACCATAACAAGCATGAACTGGCAAGCAAATGTTTGTTTGTTGTTTAAAGCCACAATCAGCAATATTCCAGCTATGTGACGGTGGTCTATAAATAATCGAGTGTGGACCAGACAATCCAGTGATTGACATCATGAGCATCGATTTACACAATTGGGACACGATGACATGCATCAACCAAGGCAGAGAGCCTGACCACCCGATCCCGTTAGTCGCCTCTTACGACAAGCATAGTCGCCTGTTACGGTAAGTATGGGTTGCTGAAGAGCTATTCTACACCTGATCTTCACGGGTCGGGAATCGAATGTACGATCATTGGTTACAGGCAAGCCTACATGGCAGCACTGCACAGCAAATTGTGGTGCTTTTGTCGACTGTGTCACTCCATGTTCCAATCTAAACTCCCACCTGGTTGTGCCGTCGGTCTTGTACGTGAACTTGTAGGCATCTTCATTCAAGTCCTGCTTGTGTGGTGGGGGTGACTGCACATGACAAACAGGAATGAACGATATTGAATCAGTTGAGCAATCTGAAAGTATCAAACAATTACATATCAACAATGATCCATTGAAAGCACAAAAGAACAAAACATATTTTCCAAACAGGGTCTTTCAAGTTAGGGACAGGTCATATGTAATGTACGTGTGTCTGGTTTTTTTAGAGGTTTTCCTAGCACTAATGTACTGAAAATAATGACCTTCCCTGAATAGACAAAAGGCAAAAGCACTTTATATTTTATTATATAAGACAGGTACGTGATAAATGACAATGACGAATGAGGCGTGGTTTATTTCACGATAAAACATTGTTCAATCATGATATCATTTCTGGAGATTCGAACGTAATTTTTGAGAGGGTAGTGAGTTGTTCCCCACAAATGTAGCTGGGTAACGCAGATAAACACAATGTCTGAAAGTCATACACAAAAATAGGTGAGAGGTGGTAATCTGTATTGGGAGAAAAGCAAAGATTATCGCCATGTGAATTGGGGGAATATTTAAGAAATACCAAACTTAACACCCCTGTTCATAGAATGGACTTGGCCGACATTGCTGCGATCGGATTGTATTCAGGGAGTCATCATTATTTAAATATGGGTAAATGTTTTTTGTAAGTTTGTCAATTTTATTAATATCCTAAGGGAGGTTGTAAATAATGTTGAAATCTCGCATAAGAAATAAGAGATTTGCGGTCACTGCACCACATCATGTTTTATTCTCACTGCAGTGTTTTATTGGACAATAAACAACCGTCTCGTCAATTATTTCTTAAATACAATGTCATTTGTTCGTGTGACCCTCCCCAAATTTATATGTATATTACTTTTTATGACCCTCCCCTAGAGACTGTCATATTTTTTGGTGACCCTCCACTGATCCCCCGTGACTCATCCCCCTCTATAATAAATGAACCCCCCCCCCCCAAAGTTTGTCAACAAAAAGCTTCATAAAATAATTTTGTGTACATTAAAACATGTTTTCACTTATCATGCTTATTCAATAATCATTATTACCATAATGCACAAGTTCCCGCAGTGTCGGATATTTATCAATCTGTCTGGGGATGAGGTCCCTCACAATAATCACAACTCCTTCCTCATAGGAATCCAGATCCACATCTTCGTCTGCTGGAGTAATAACATGGGTTGCCTCCCCTTCATCACACATGTCGTCTGCTTTGGTGAAATGTTCCGACAAAGAACTGACTTCATTTTCCTCACAAACTGGATACCATCGTTGATATAAAATCTTTGCACCACATAATCTCCTGTTGACTACGTGTGGTTTGTTTATGTACACTGACAGAGCGTTTTTGAAACCACTTTTAGTTCCTGAAAAATCTTTTTCTACTTTTGTTTCGGGCTCTGTTTTCAATTTTGACTCTGATAATTCACTGTTGCTCATGGCAACCTCACTTTTCCTTCCAACATCAACGTTCCCAACGTCACACATGTTTGCTGGTCAAGGCAATTGGCGTACACTAAGCAGTGGAATTGTTAAAAGGAAACTTTGAGTGATGTTGATGTGTGCAATCTGTGCATATGGGCGCTGACATCTTGAATATTGCATTATGGATAAGCACTCGAACATATATCTTTTAACATGCAAATGATAGAATATATATTAATTATATACAACTATTTTTTATCAAGCTTCATTTTAAAAACGGCAAATGTACAGAAACATTAATAGACATTACTAGGATCTGTCTGTGGTAATCTCCGTGTTCAAAAACAGCGCAGCACCAAAATGGTCTAGCAACCTTTGGTCAAAACGGATACAAAATGGAGAGAAAACAATCCAACTTTGGCTCGGGAGAACAACCTACCCTATTTAAATTTATAAAGAAATTATGAAAGGAATTAATTTAATTGTCTCCTAAAAAAATCAAGTTCCAAAACGTTGAGCTACACCCTTAATTGGTAAATGTACAGTCGCACAGTCTTGAAACTTGATAATACACAGACAGGGGGAACGGGTGGCCCAGTCGTCTAAGGCGCCGCGATCTGCTGTGCAGAGCTGCTTCCCTTAGGCACGCCAGAAACCTATGATTGTGGGTTCGAATCCCGGTTCGCCCTGATTATGTTTCTAGGTTTGTCAGCACCATACCCCTGCTCGTGGGTTTCACCAAAGTGGTAAACGTCTGAGACCTGCATCACTTCGGGCTTTTTTACATTAAGCTGACACGCCGTGATAACAACAAGTACCATCTTTTAGCGTCTTTTGGTAAGATGCGGCCGGAGATGTTTCCTTATTGTAAATACCATATACAAGCATAAACACAGTATATACCTTTAGAAACCGAGTATGAATATACGAGTATGGCACCCTATAGTGGTTGATGTGTCGGCTCGTCACGCCGAAGATCCGGCATCGTTTCGGGCCCATCGTTTCCCCACAAGTGTACCGTGATATGGCTTGAAAAGTATTACAAGCGGTCAAAATGAAAAACAATAATTTAATTCCTTGTTTTTGAACTCTGGGGATGGGTTGTAGGTTAATATAGAGAAGTAGGTAGGGGGATGGTGTCCCACCTTATGGCTAATAGACTTCATTGTCAACAACCGTCATTATATATCATTTGACCAAGAAAACTATAGATACTTAATTGTTGTTATAAAAAAGTGAATAGATTTTAAACAAAACTCACTGCTACCTTTTGAGGGAAAAAATCCCTTGAAATACGAAAGAAACATTGAGAATAATGACATATATCATTGTCAATGAGACGCCAGGATCAGAATAAAGTCTCACAGTAGACAAGGTTCCGTCTTTCCGCTGATCGACAGCGGGGTTTGGGCACGGAGACATTTGGCACCGAGAATCTTGTCCTTCCATCGCGTTTTCTTTCTGGTAGGTGACTCAAAGACCGTTAAATTTCCTTGATCAAATTTTGCACAGATATCAGTCCAGCCATAAACTGATACCTTGTGTTAGTTATTTTGGAATGTTTTATAATGAGTGAGGCTCCTGGTATCTTATGATTGCCGTAGAGCAGATTATAATAGTGTTGGGTGGTCAGGCTCTGTGACTTGGTTGATAGCGCGGATCGCTGATCACACTTTCTGTCACTGGTTTGTTTACAGATGGAATATTGTTGACTGTGGCGCTGAATAACAATCAATCACTCGGTAGTCAAATCACAACAACGTCAGCGTCTTCTGGGTCTTTTTGGTCAATTAATTGTTAATATTTGTTTTCTGGAAAGAAACAGAAACAGACATTGTACTTAACACTATTATTGAAACTTTGACACTGTAGCTGTGTGGGCCTATTTAGGGTAACTTGTAATGTTAAAATGATATACATCCTAAAATTTGAACCAGCTGACTAGCAGACATACATAAATGTAATGCATGTATACGTTTGTTTGTTTGTTGTTTAACGCCGCACTCAGTAATATTCGGGGCGGTCTGATAGCCTAGTGGTTAAAGAGTTCGCTCGTCACGCCGAAGACCCGGGTTCGATTCCCGTACACCGTGTGAAGCCCATTTCCGGTGTCCCCCGCCGTGATATTGCTGGAATATTGCTAAAAGCGGCGTAAAACCACACTCACTCACCCACTCTCAGCAAAATACCAGCTATATGACGGCAGTCTGTCAATAATCGAGTCTGGACCAGACATTCCAGTGATAGATGTCACGAGCATCGATAATTTGGATAACGATGACATGCCTCAACCAAGTCAGCGAGCCTGACCACCCGATCCTGTAAGTCGCCTCTTACGACAAGCATGGGATGCTGAATACCTATTCTACCCCGGATCTTCAGGGGTAGTCTACTAGAAAGAGACAGAAACAGACACTGAACTCAATACAATGAGTGAAACTTTGAGACTGTTCCTCTGGGGGCCTAATTGGGGTTATCAGTTATGTTAAATTGATATACTTCCTAAAATTTGAACTAGCAGACCAAAGTGAGTGAGTGAGTATGGTTTTACGCCGCTTTTAGCAATATTCCAGCAATATCACGGCGGGGGACGCCAGAAATGGGCTTCACACATTGTACCCATGTCGGGAATCGAACCCAGGTCTCCGATGTGACGAGCGAACGCTTTAACCACTAGGCTACCCGACCGCCCCAGCAGACCAAAGACGCACATGTATATACTGTATATATATATATACGTCCGTGAGCAGACAAAGAACCTGTTTTTTGAGGTATCAAATTTGCTAAAACTGCCCAGTGTCCCTTTAATATAACCCAATCCCCTGGCGGGGAAACCGTCTTCAAATCCAAAAAAGATAGTCTGTTTTGATTGATTAATGCTGTTAGCAATTTTGGTCTTGTAATGTTACACAGCGCACTGACAAACGCCTACAACGTAGAGAACCAGTTTATACAAAACCCGGAAATAAACCAGAGCGCCATATTTAACTTGAATGTAAACAAACCAGCATGTGTTTATGGCCCTGCCTGTGTATCATAGAATTCCTGCCTTACGTGTGCCTTGTGACAGTGCCAGTGTATGGAGCGTTCGTTGGTGTCGACGTCATTCTTCGATTTTCCCTGCTTCTGTACATCCACAGTGTCATTGTTGAGTACATTCCAAGATCATTGGTGAGGCACTTTGTGGACGTAGTGATGGGTCATAATGAAAGTGGATCTGTTCTGTCACATTTGTATTTGTTTTTATATTCCATATACTACTTACATACGCATTTGTTTTTAAAGTGTCGTTCTTAGGTATGACAATGATTAACAATGGACATTTGTATTCAGTTTTTAGTTTTATTTCAGTTTTCTATTTCAGTGTTATCAGTGTCACAAGCCTTTAACTCTCGACAAAATGTATTCTCTGTCTATGTCGCCCTCCGCCAATAAACATTCCCATGTTGGAAGTATTAACGAGTTTGGCCTGATTGCGGTTCGGGAAGTTGTGGTGCAGGATCTGGTAGTTTTTTGTTTCCATGGACCGCCTCCGTGGTAGAGCGTCCGCCCGGAGAGCGGAAGGTCCGGGTTTCGATCCCCGGCCGCGTCATACCAAAAGACGATAAAAGATGGTACTTGTTGTTACCCTGTCTGGCGTTCAGCATTTAGGGGCTAAAACAAGGACTGGTCGGCTCGGAGTCAGTATACTGTGTCTGAGTGGGGTATTCATGTTGAACTGCGGCATGGTATCTCAGTGGGCTGGCACTATAAATCGGCATCAGTCCGGACTAGTACAAGCAGCCACACACACACACACGTGCATGCACATTGCTATATAAGTGCAATAATCTTGGACGCGACGTTAAACCCAACTTCACCTCACCTTTTGTTTCCATGACCTGTTGTGAGCCCTGTGGTAGCTCTACGTTACTCCATCAAAGTTGACCATGCAGCTGAATACCATGCCATGATTGCCACAGATTAAGCAATCATGAGCAAGACGACATCCGTCTTCCCGCCAACAGGAACCATAAATAAAGCGTTGACAAATTTCGGCACCGGCTACAGTGAAAGGTCCAGGGTGTTGACCCTTTGAACCAGTTGTATCCTGTTGGTTTGACATTTGTGAGAATGTGGATTTTAGCGCAGGTTGGACCTCATGCACTTCCTGCTCTTCCTGCACTTCTCAACCTGAATCCCTCTTGATACAACATGATTGGTCCTGTACTCTCTGTAGAATGCCTCCGTGGTCTAGTGGTAGAGCGTCCGCCCGGAGAGCAGAAGGTCCGGGGTCGAATAGGTCTTCAGCAACCCATGCTTGCAGTAAAAGGCGACTATGCTTGTCGTAAGAGGCGATGGTCAGACTCGCTGACTTGGTTGATGCGTGTCATCGATCCCAATTGCGTGGATCGATGTTCATGATGTCAATCACTGGATTGTCTGGTCCAGACTCGATTATTTACAGACTGCCGTCATATAGCTGGAATATTGCTGAGTGCGGTGTTAAACAAACAAACAAACAAAACTCAGTTGCCATCCATAAAAAGTGTCATGTTCCTCAACTTCTAAATGCCCATCAAAGACTTCAAGTCATACTGTTTTCCTGGTTTGTTACAGTTTTCCTTCGTCCCGTATCTCCAGTTTGGCCTCCTGGTGCTTCTGGTGTTCCTTCCCATCAATCTCACTCCATGGCCAATCGTGTGGCTGTATGACAAGTTGCTATGGGCAACGGAACCACTCTTGCTTCTAGCTGAAGTGGTGCTGGTACAGAACTTTGTGATGCGATGCAGCCAGAAGGTTGTGGATAAGATCGAAGATGAGAGAGCAGAAGAGGGGTTTAAGTGGAAGGTAATTCAAGGTCTAAGGGAAGTTGATGAGGATATTGTGACCTAAACCTGTTTGGTTCTGCCAGAGATTATAATGCCATTGTATTCTCTTGTTCTGGTAACAGTCTCATATGACCTGTGAAGATCAAGGTAGTATAGGTCTTCAGCACCCATGCTTGTCATAAGATGCGACTAATGGAATCGGGTGGTCAGACTCGCTGACTTGGTTGATGCATGTCATCGTATCCCAATTACATGGATCGATGTTCATGATGTCAATCACTGGATTGTCTGGTCCAGACCTGATTATTTACAGACCACGTCATATAGCTGGAATATTGCTGAGTGCGGCGTTAAATAAAAAACAAACAAACAAACAAACAAAATACTGTCTCATATAGGTTAGGTCATCCTCGATTATCCAGCGTATTATATCTCCGTTCTGTTATAATAACTACCCTGGTTTCATTAGCCGCCATAGCTTTGTTTTGAGTCTGATTTGAATGATGCAACGTTAAATATAACCATCTCGTCAAATAAACCCTGTCCTGTCAGAATTGAAACCAGCTGCAATGTCACACACCAGAAACCAACTCACTTTGTTGCATTCCGTCCCAAATATACACCCTGTGAAGAGCCAGATTAGAATTGGTATTCAGCAACCCATTGCTTGTTGTAAGAGGCGACAAACAGAATTGGGTGGTCAGACTTGCAGAATTGGTTTATGCATGTCATCATATCCCAATTTTGGAGATTGATGCTCATGATGTCAATCACTGGATTGTCTGGTCAATACTTGATTATTTCCAGACCAATGTCATATTGGTGAGTGCGGCGTTACACAACAAGCCAACAACCCAAACACCACGGGAAAACCGGATACCATAAGAACCTCCACCCCTATGATGATACTCAGGGTTTTATTCAGATAAACTATCGTCTATAACAGTCTTCTGATTCGATTAAATGTGGGCTGTAATTTTGAAATTAGATCGCTGCTGAACTCTCTATCAGAGTAATTTTGTCTGGTTGTTGATTGGTTGTTGATTTCAAGGTGAAAAGTCATGTGAGTGAGAGAAATTCTGTGGTGAACGTGCTGGTGTGTGATAAGAGGGATGGAGATATCACTTCCTGGATGAAGTTATGGAGGATGGGTCTAGGGTGTTTACGATCGTCCCAAGGCAAGGGAGTTAACTGACTCTTAATGCCCAGTTTCCACCCTTGCCAAACAAAGCTAGAATTTGTGGGCTCGATCGTAGCACCACCAGTGGCTATTATGCGTTATGTCCTTTCTATGCCCCTCCTGTTGACTAATCAGATTCCACCTCTCATATCACTTCCATTTGCTTCAAACAAAATGGCAGTGCCCAGTCATGACGATCTGATGGATAATCAAGATCTCTTTTGTAAATAAACGGGTAAGTCTTACCTCGTGAAATGCACCAAACCACGTGAACACCTTGATTAAAAACATGAAAAGATTTGGAAAATATCTGTCGACGCCCATTTGACGGTACACATCCTTTGGTCATTAGACCAGCCAAGAAATAACTAAATGATCCCAGCCTTGTTCTGTGAGGGTGGAAACTGGACTTTCACAGTCAGTTAATTCCCTTGCCTCATGAAGATGCAAGACTGATGGAAATATCATTTCCTGGACGAAAATCCATAGAGGATAGGTCCAGGCATCTTCCCGAGGCAAGAGAGTTAACTGACTATAAAAGTCCAGTTTCCACCCTTGCCGAACAAGGCTGGTATTATGGAGTTTCATTTTAATGCATAGTCCAATCGCGAAAATCGCGAAACCGAAATCGAAATCCGGTTCGTAACTGTCGTGCAGATTTCAATCAATTGCAGTATTTGCAAAGTATGTGCACCGTCAACTCATTGTCAGCAGATATTATTCCAAATCTTTTCATGGTTTTAATCAAGGTGCTCACGTGATTTGATGCATTTTGCGATGAAAGACCCGTTTTATCACAATATAGATCTTGATTATCGATCAAATCGTCCTGACTGGACGCCACCATTTTGTGTGAAGCAAACGCAAGTGATACGAAAGGTGGAATCTGGTAGGTCCATAAGAGAGGCTTAGAAAGGACATAACTGGTTATAGCCACTGGTGGCGCTATGATCGAGCCCAGGAATTTGTGAATGTCCTGCTTAGGTATGTGTAGGCTGAGAAGAAAGTTAGTGTTTGAAACTGATTTTATTTTTCATTTTTATAAAACAAACATGAGAGTGTGTTTCATTGAAAGTCAGTTTAATGGGCAATAATTCATTTAAAAACTGTGTTATGAAATGCAATAGGGTTATTGACAGTTTCAGTGGGTAATCATAGGCACCCCCATGCTGTGTAGGCTGTTGCTGTGAGGCTGTTCATGGTTTCAGTGTGTGATCATTGGCGTCTCCGTGCTGTGTTTCGCTGTTGCTGTGAGGCTGTTCATGGTTTCAGTGTGTGATCATTGGCGTCTCCGTGCTGTGTAGGCTGTTGCTGTGAGGCTGTTTGTGGTTTCAATGTGTGATCATTGGCGTCTCCGTGCTGTTTAGGCTGTTGCTGTGAGGCTGTTTGTGGTTTCCGGGTGTGATCATTGGCGTCTCCGTGCTGTGTTACGCTGTTGCTGTGAGGCTGTTTGTGGTTTCAGGGTGTGATCATTGGCGTCTCCGTGCTGTGTAGGCTGTTGCTGTGAGGCTGTTTGTGGTTTCAGGGTGTGATCATTGGCATCTCCGTGCTGTGTTACGCTGTTGCTGTGAGACTCTTTGTGGTTTCAGTGCGTGATCATTGGCGTCTCCGTGCTGTGTTACGCTGTTGCTGTGAGGTTGCTGTGGGAGATGTACAGTGAAGGATCATCGGTACAGTTGTGGTATGCGACACTTATTCCACACCATTGCAGTGTTGATTTCAGTTATGAGTTATCTCAATACCCTGTTCAAAATATAACAAATTCACTTTATATATGAATACGGGTTAGCCAGACGTTTAGGGTGCTACAATTCTCTTTGCAGAGTTGTGTCCCTTAGACGTTCCTATAACCTCTAGTCGTAGGTTTGGACAATAACTGGGTGTCATTAAACAAGTGTATCGTCTTGTATCGATACAGTAAGAAATGTATAGTATGATCGCATGAAAACTCACGATGCACTGGTGCAGCGATGTATCGTTTCACATTTATTGAGGACACTATGTTTTGTGATTGCAGTTGTATGCTGTATCACTTAGGCATTGTCTGTACTAGTAGTTTTCTAAATTCTCAGATTACGGTACTCCGTGTTGTGTCCATGTTTCAGGCTGGTGTTTGTCGTACTTCTGCTGTTGGTGGCTGTACACAACATGATGTGGATGGCCCAGGAAGGTGGGTGTGGTGGGGATGGGTGTGGTGTGGTGTGGTGGGTGTGGTGTGGTGGGGTGGGGAGGTGCGGCATGGCTGTACACAACATGATGTGGATGGCCCAGGAAGGTTGGTGTGGTGAGTGGTGTGGTGTTGTTGGGTGTGGTGGGGTGGGGTGGGGTGGGGTGGGGTGGGGTGGGATTGGGGCGGGGTTGCTGTACACAACATGATGTGGATGGCCCAGGAAGGTGGGTGTGGTGTGGTGAGTGGGGCGGGTGGGGTGTGGTTGGGTGGGGTGGGGGTGGGGAGGGTTGGGGTGGCTGTACACAACATGATGTGCATGGCCCAGGAAATGGGTTACACTAGTGGGTGGGTGTTGTCCGTTGTCTGATAGTGATGTTCCAGCAACAAAGGTAGGTGGATGTATTTAAATACTGAATAACAATAATATCTCACTTCTGTCAGCTGATCCAGATATACACAATAAGGTCTTTTCTAACTGTTGCCATTATTACCCAGGTATCATAAGCGACGCGGCCTTCTGTACCCTGTGCACTGTCGTGGTGTTGTATGCCATGCTGGAGGAGACGTCACACATCCGAGCACCGCTGCAGCCCCCGCCTTCATGGAAGAGGTCAGATATAGTTTCAGATTCAACAGAAGTAATTTTTTTGTAGTGACATCGGGTACCAGGTAATAATTTCGTTTCCATGGTGATGATGGTTGCAAAAGGAAAATAACACAAGGTTCTGATCAACATGTTGCAAAATATTCTGTTTCATCACATGGTTCAGTCCAAGTTATGTTTTTATTTATCATTTGATTATTTATGAAAACTGAGTAAGTTCTACCTCATGCTTGTCTCCCTGTGGGGATTAAGGGGTCGAATAACTCCCAAGTTCTCCATTCTTGTCTCCCTGTGGGAATTCAGGGTCAGAATAGGCCCCCAGTACTTCATGCTTGTCTCCCTGTGGGGATTCAGGGGTCGAATAACTCCCAAGTTCTCCATTCTTGTCTCCCTGTGGGAATTCAGGGTCAGAATAGGCCCACAGTTCCCCATGCTTGTCTCCCTGTGGAGATTCAGGGTCAGAATAGGCCCCCAGTACCCCATGCTTGTCTCCCTGTGGAGATTCAGGGTCAGAATAGGCCCCTAGTACCTCATGCTTGTCTCCCTGTGGAGATTCAGGGTCAGAATAGGCCCCCAGTACCCAATGCTTGTCTCCCTGTGGAGATTCAGGGTCAGAATAGGCCCCCAGTACCCCATGCTTGTCTCCCTGTGGAGATCCAGGGTCAGAATAGGCCCCCAGTACCCCATGCTTGTCTCCCTGTGGAGATTCAGGGTCAGAATACGCCCCCAGTACCTCATGCTTGTCTCTCTCTAGAGATTCATTATTAATTTAATGGTTTCATTGCATCATTAGTGAGTTCAAGGTATTGATGGTGACTTCAGCATATTGATAGTGACTTCAGTGCACCAATACTGCCTTGCGTGTATCAATAGTGACTGCAGTGTATTGATGGTGACTTCAGCATATTGATAGTGACTACAGTGCAGCAATAGTGGCTTGCGTGTATCAATAGTGACTGCAGTGTATTGATGGTGACTTCAGCTTATTGATAGTGACTTCAGCGCAGCAATAGTGGCTTGCGTGTATCAATAGTGACTGCAGTGTATTGATGGTGACTTCAGCATATTGATAGTGACTTCAGTGCAGCAATAGTGGCTTGCGTGTATCAATATTTACTTCAGTGTATTGATGGTGACTTCAGCATATTGATAGTGACTTCAGTACAGCAATACTGCCTTGCGTGTATCAATATTTACTTCAGTGTATTGATGGTGACTTCAGCATATTGATAGTGACTTCAGTGCAGCAATAGTGGCTTGCGTGTATCAATAGTGACTGCAGTGTATTGATGGTGACTTCAGCTTATTGATAGTGACTTCAGTGCAGCAATAGTGGCTTGTGTGTATCAATAGTGACTGCAGTGTATTGATGGTGACTTCAGCTTATTGATAGTGACTTCAGTGCAGCAATAGTGGCTTGCCTGTATCAATAGTTACTGCAGTGTATTGATGGTGACTTCAGCATATTGATAGTGACTTCAGTGCAGCAATAGTGGCTTGCCTGTATCAATAGTTACTGCAGTGTATTGATAGTGACTATTATAATGTGATTTGCTCACGTCTAATGTTCCAGATCCTACAGCAAGTCTCTGGCCGACATCTTGATCTCCATTGTCAACATGAGGGCAGGTACGAGATCTATTTGGCAGACTGAAGTATTTTGTTGTTGTTTGTTTCTCTTGTGTTTGTATGTATATCTGATTATCAAACATAGATGATGTGAAACAACCTGTATTGATAAAGTAAGACGACCCTATGTCCCCTCATTTAAAAGGCTTGTAAGAGGCGACTAACAGGATCGGCTTGTGAGGCTCGCTGACTTGGTTGTTACATGTAATCGTATCCAAATCGCGTGGATAGATGCTCAGGTTGTCAATCACTCGATTGTCTGGTCCAGACTCAATTATTTACAGACTGCTGTCATATTGATGTAATATTGCTGAGTGCTGCGTTAAACAACAAACAAATCATTTAGAGCAGGGACACTCGTGGTGATTTTGGGTTAGAATAGGCCCCAAGCAACGTATGCTGGTCATTATAGCAAATCTAAAGGTTAGTTGGTTGGTTTGTTGTTTAACGCCGCACTCAGCAATATTCCAGCTATATGATAGGTTGCTGAAGACCTATTCTACCCCGGAATCTTCACGGGTCCCAATCTAAAGGATCAGTGGTCAGACTTGGTGACTTGGTTGTGTATCATCATACCCCAACAGCACCCAACATACCCCAATCACTGGATTGACTTCATTATCTACAAGCCGCTCTCAAGAAGCTGAAATATTGCTGAGTGCAGGGTTAAACAAGAAACAAAAGCATTTGAAGGGGGACTATGCTGGCACAACCTAGCAAGTCTGATTTAAGTTAAAATTTAAAAAAGCTTCAAACTGTATTGTAGTGGTGACTGGCAGGTTATGTTAACCCTAATTACACCTACATACTTTCTTAGTTCACACATACCACTACTTACGTCTACAGCACAGACTACAAAGGATAGATGTCTCAATAATGTTGAATTTACAGGATTTTGATGCAAAAATCTGTACCAAAACAACATTAAACATTCTGTTTAATCTGTACACAAATTGAAGAGATGATTGTCCATCTGTTGTGGGAATGCACAGAAGCGAACCAAAGACATATATAGGTATATACGTCTTTGAGCAAACTTATAATGACAAGGAGTACAAATATGGATTGAAGAAAAAATTGGCATATGTGTAACGTTTTTGTTCAGATTTACAGAGAAAGTAACAATGTCCTGAAGTTCATCTTAGTTTTGGTCCTTTGATTCCTGAACATTAACAGTATCATTTTTGGAAAATGTGTATGTTTGTAACATAATCAATTCTAATTTGTTGCCATATCTATAAATCTTTATATAATCATTTCGGTAAAAATGGTCCTCTCGCCTAAGAGCTGTCCACCCACATCAAATCAACAGTTGTCTAAGGCACTGCGATTCCTCGTGGAGAGTTACCTCCCTTAGGTTTGTCAGAACCCTGTGATTGTTGGTTCAAATCCCAGACTCACCCTGATCATATTACATGACTTGTCAGCACCATTCTTGTGCCCTTGGGTATCACCAAGTGGTAAATGACTACGACCGGCATCACTTCAGGCTTTCCTCCTACATGAAGGTGACATGCTGGGATGTAAATGGAATACAGTTAAATGCAGAGTTAAACCCAACTCACTCAATCGTTTATATTATCTCAGATGCTGCAATGAAGGCTGTGTTGTTCTTCAAGAAGTTCCTGTCACCGTTCTTCCTCCTGTCTGTCATCGTCCGCCTGTACTGCATCCTTTTCATCGTGGACAAGGTCACCAAGAACTTCACTCAGGGGGATGTACGTCATCTTAGTCAACATATTGAAGTTACCATTGATACACTGAAGTTACTATTGATACACTAAAGTTACCACTGATACATTGAAGTTACTATTGAAACACTGAAGTTACTGTCCAGAAAGTCTCTTTTCACCAACCTGAAAATTAGCAAGATAAAAATGGAATTAACATGATTTTTCTGATATTATTTTTATTACCGACGGTTATAATCATATAAAAATTATAGAATAAATAAAATAACAAGAAATAGTACTCAGATTAGTTTGTCTTGAAAAGAGGATTAATTGCCAAATACGATATACGTACATGAAGTGACCAATAAGAGTTACAGCCCTTTGATATGACATCCGGTTGTGCAGTCATTAAGGCAGGAAAATGGCAACTTGCATGTGCCTCGTGAGTGCAGTCGAAGGGCATGAATTCAGGAATTTCAGACATGTTCATTTGAAGACAATCAAAAAAATTCAACCACCAGTTTTAAGAACAAAACAAAATTCCTTAAACTAAAATTTAATTGCCTTACTTGACATTATCACATTTTTTATGTATGACACTGTGTATCATTCTCAAGCTATCCTAGTGTACATTGTATAATAACTGTCCTCGCAGCCCATATGGCAGATCAAGAATACAGTATCTGTTGGTTTGTTGGTTTGTTTGTTATTTAACGCTGCACTCAGCAATATTCCAGCTATATGACAGCGGTCTGTAAATAATCAAGACTGGACCAGACAATCCAGTGATTGACATCGATCTACGCATTTGGGATATGATGATATCAACCAAGTCAGCGAGCCTAACCACCAGATCTCGTTGCCTCTTCCAACAAGCATAACAGCCTATTACAGGAAGCATGGGTTGCTGAAGACCTATTCTACCCCGGATCTTCACGGGTATAGAAAACAGTAAGATATACAGAATAAGATAAGGTACACTGACATAATTCTAAAAGATGCTCAGTTGTACGCAATGTTGAAGCACATTAACAAGTGTCATGTGACTCATTGTTTCAGAACAACGTCACCCTGCTGGACGACGCTGATGCTGACGAGTCCATGCTGTCCATGTCGCCATGGAAATCCCCTCTCATCCTCCGGCTGTCCGTCATCTACATGTTCACACAGCTGACGACCATCTTCCTGTCGGAGTGCAGCGGTGGCTTCCTGTCTGGCTTCTCCTGGCTTCTTGGGCCGCACAGCGTCTGGCCCACACAGATCCTCCTGGGTCGTGTGTTCCAGGTGGCCACGGTCAGCGGCTTCTACATGTGGAGGCTCTACTGTGCGGACGACTGGACGTGGTCAGAATGGCTGACCCCTTGAGTGCTGATCCCTGAGTGCTGAACCCTTGAGTGGGCGATCCCCTGAGTCCTGTTGTAATTAATTGTAGAATGAGTGAAGGAGTAAGCATCTTCCCGAAGCAAGAGAGCAAGTCCAGTTTCCACCCTTGCTGAACTAGGCTAGAAGTACTGGGCTCGATCATAGCGCCACCAGTGGCTACTTATGTCCCCTCTAAGCCTCTCCTATGGACCAATGAGATTCCACCTCTCGTATCACTTGCGTTTGTTTCACCCAAAATGGTGGCGCCCATTCAGGACGATCTGATCAATAATCAAGATCTATATTGTGATAAAATGGGTCTTACATCGCGAAATACATCAAATCACGTGAGCACCTTGATTAAAAACATGAAAAGATTTGGAAAATATCTGCTGACAACGAGCTGGCGGTGCACATGTTTTGCAAATCCTGCAATCGAACCGGATTTCGATTTTGGTGCGCGATTTTGATTGGACTATGCATAGACTCGTTAGTCCAGCCAAAATGTAACTCCATAATACCAGCCTAGTTCGGCAAGGGTCGAAACTGGACTTTTATAGTCCGTTAACTCACTTGCCTCGGGAAGATGAGGAGTAAGTGACTGACCCCTTGGGTGTTGATTAATTAACTGTAGAATGAGTGAGTTTGAAAGTTGTTGACATGATGACCTATATGGTGGGATTAAAACAGTGATGTTGGTAGAAATTGCATGGCATAATGATTTCTACTAAACTTAGAGTGAGTGAGTGAGTATAGTTTTACCCCGCTTTTAGCAATATTCCAGCAATATCATGGCGGGGGACAACAGAAATGGGCTTCACACATTGTACCCATGTCGCGAATCGAACCGGGTCTTCAGCGTGACGAGTGAACGTTTTAACCACTAGGCGACCCGACCGCCCCTACTAAATGTTCAATTCATGTGAATAATTTCTATTTTGTAATTTGGCCTTCACACATTTAACTAAATTCCCGAGCGCCCGCAGAATGAAATAGACCCTATGTTCAAGGCGTAGATAGTACTTTCATACAGCATTGTTTGTCAATTACCTGTACTTAGCCTACCTGTAGAATTATTCATCACCACGTCACAATACCCTGTTACGTAATTTGTGAAATTTTGTTGCAAGATACATCACTGAAACAATGCCCTGTGACGTCAGCCTAGCAACAGGGTGTACATTGCTCCTCCCAGACAAATCAGTGGCGACCAAGCAGACATTGTGTTAGTTTTGTTACAGGAAGATGTATTTTCATGATCTGCTTGGTACACGATTTTATTGGATGACATGACAGAATAATAAAACAGTTTTTTTCCACAAGATCTTTGACTACTTTTCCTGAGTGGTCATATGGAGTGTTAAGGGCAATATGATCCCACTAGGAGTCAAGGATTCAAGGGAAATAACAACCCCATTTTGTTTGTTTGTTGTTTAACGCCGCACCCTGCAAAATTCCAGGTGTGTGACAGCGGTCTGTAAACAATCGACTCTGGATCAGACAATCCAGTGATTGACATCTTGAGCATCGACCTAAGCAATTGGGATACGATAACGTGCATCAACCAAGTCATGCCCACCCGATCATGTTAGTCGTCTCTTGACAAGCATGAGTTGCTGAAGACCAATTCTAACCATGGAATCTTCACGGGACGTCTCCTTCGCAAATGACTTGGTTCAAAATATGACTGTTCACCCCAGCAGTGGATGGGTACCCAGTAGGATGAGATGGTAATGTAAATATAGCTCATAAACACAAGATGTAAGGTGAGGTGAGATGGGGTTTAACGTTGCGTCCAAGATTAATGCACTTATATAGCGACGTGCATGTAGGTGTGTGTGTTTGTGTGGCTGCTTGTACTAGTCCGGACTGATGCCGATTTATAGTGCTAGCTCACTGAGATACCATGCCGCAGTTTAACATGAATACCCAACTCAGAGACAGTATACTGACTCCGAGCCGACCAGTCCTTGTTTTAGCCCCTTAATGCCGAGCGCCAGACAGGGTAACAAGTACCATCTTTTAACGTCTTTTGGTATGAAGCGGCTGGGGATCGAACCCCGGACCTTCCGCTCTCCGGGCGGACGCTCTACCACTAAACCACGGAGGCGGTCCATAAACACAAGAGACATAATGTGCATGTATATGTGCAAGTATATTCAGCAAAACAATGTTTTTTCTCCTCAAGACTGTTTGACAAGAGGGATGACTTCAACTTTCCAATAGTTAACTTTCAGTTCATGTCCAGCAATATTCCTGCAGCTCCAGCCTTTGGTGTCTACATTTCGCAACTTTTGATTACAATCGCGCATGCTCTATATGCTAAGATGTCAAAGAGCGTCATACGACTCTTGCTCAGAAGTTGATTGGTCAAGGTTACATTCAAGGCCCTGGTCAAGCTTTCGAAAAGTTTTATGGTAGACATTGGAGGACATTTCTGAATTTGACTCAGCAGTGACAAAAAGATGTCAAATGCAATTCTCTATTTTGACTTGTACCATATGTTCCCATGTTTTTTTAAGGTGAAGAATTGAATTGCCTTTGCATGTATTTGTAATGGGTGCCACCGATGGGGCTGGATATGCTCAGCTTTTCACAAACACACATGGTATCATCACTATTTGATAATGATTCATAAACAGATGCTCATGAATATTGGGCCGCCTCCGTGGTCTAATGGTAGAGCGTCCGCCCGGAGAGCTGATGATCCGGCTTCAGATATTAAGGGGCTAAAACAAGGACTGGTCGGAGTCAGTATAATGTGTTTGAGTCGGGTATTCATGTTAATTGCGGCAGGGTATCTCAGCGGGCTATCAATATAAATCGGTGTCCGGACTAGTACAAGCAGCGACACGCACGCACGCACGCACGCACACACACCTTATGAATTAAGAAAGGGTTTTCTCGCTTTTATCAACTTACTTATGAACCGTCCAAATGCAAGAAATACCAGTACAACAAAACATCGAGATACCTTATTATGAAACAATACATTGTCGCGGTATGAAACGAATTCGATGACAACGAGCGCAAGACCATATGCAGCATGGAGACCACTGAGGTCATGACATGTAAACTTGAACACCCTTTCTTCAACTGCCCTATCGTGACATTAACTATGGTAATATGAAAGAATCCGGTGATCCCTTTTAGTAGTAAATGCCATTTATATCATACCTTTGCATCGTCAAAGGTTTTTTGTTGTTGCTTTGGTCAATCCATTCGTCCGTATGCCCATTAGTCCCTCCAGTAGTCCTTTAGCACTGAGCTTGAAAAATATCCATTTAAGCTGCCGAACTCGGTGTTTTACATGTCCCTGCCTACAAATCAAAGAATGTCAACAACAAAAAGTCTTTACGGCCATTTGTCATGCCACGCCTTTCAAATGTGCAACGTAAACGTGCCATCGGCATGTTGCAGACGGAAAGGTCCTTAGCTGAAGTCGCAAGGACGATGGGTTGTAGTCGACGGACTGTTTATGATTTACAGACGCGTCTACAGCAAACTGGTACCACCGCTGATCGCCCTCGGCCAGGTCGAACACGTGTGACGTCACATGCAGAGGATCGTCAGATTGTCTTACGTCACCTCCGTAACCGATTTTTGACGGCTACATCAACCAGAAATGAACTGTTTAGGGGTAGACTGAGTGCGCAAACTGTTCGAAACCGTCTGAGAACTGCTCACCTTCAAGCACGACGGCCATACTGCGGGCCGATTCTGACTCAATTACACAGACGTCAACGTCAATTGTGGGCACAGCGACACTTACGATGTACTTCTTCAGTGATGAATCCGTATTTAATCTTCGATTTGCTGATGGTAGGGCGAGGGTGTGGAGGCGCCGTCATGAACGTTACGCCCAGTGTTGTGTACAGGAAGTTGACCGATTTCGAGGCGGAAGTGTCATGGTGTGGGGTGCTTTCTGTGGCAATGCACGTTCCAGGCTTCTTGTCATCCGTGGCAACCTCAACGCTGCTGCTTACCGCGACCAGGTACTGGCACCAGAACTTCTGCCTTTTATGGCAGCACATGGACCCGGTTTGATCTTCCAACACGACAATGCCAGACCCCACACAGCAATTTTGAAAAGGAATTTCCTCCAGAATGTGGGAGTCAACGTCATGGACTGGCCGTCAAGGTCTCCCGACCTCAATCCCATCGAACACGTCTGGGATGCTCTTGGTAGAAGTCTGCGCAGAACCAACCACAGAATTTGCAAGATCTTGGCACCATTTTGCAGCAACAATGGCGTCGTCTTCCCAATCATGTGTTCACAAGTATCACAAGGTCCATGCGGAGGCGTTGTGTGGCGGTTGTCAACGCACATGGTGGCCATACACGCTACTGAACTTGTGTGCCATCAGATTCTCGTGCTTGGGACTTATGATTTAAACTGTTGATGTTATTACCGAATACCGTAGGTGCTTGGAACAAATTATGGTTACCACCGTTAATTAAAATCCTTCTTGCCAGAAGCAAAGTTTTATTTTTGAAAAAATAAAAATGTTCACCATGGCACTCGTCTGGGTGTGCGAACTCCTCGAATATCCAATTGTATCTACCAGATGCTCACCAATGTCATTAAAGTCAGATCTTAGCTTTAGCGGCAGCGAGAACTTAGATCTGATTTTAGTGAGATTTGATGCTCACAGATCTAGCACGGGTTTTGATTCTTGAAACAGACAACATAAATGTCAAGTTGGACTTGATGGTATTTTGTGATCGGTGGATTAGATCGATGGTCAAGGTTGCTATTTATGAAATTAGCTAACAAGCATCTTATGATCTCAGTAACTGTCGATTTTGCTCTAAGAATTTCAGCTCATATACCAAACATAACTTCTTGGACAGGACTACAACTGCATAGACTTTGTTTGACCTTTGTGAAAGGTCAAGGTATTCGAAATTAAAAATGACAATCATCATAAATATTTATTTATTCTAAATGAGTAAAGCGTCCAATGATTCCAACCTAATGTAAATATACCGAGGAGCAAAAGAAACTGTTCCTCAAAGTTGATGTTATCATGTTTGATTTTCAGTTGAAAAGGGTAGCCATATTGTACCCAATACATAACCTGTACAGGCGCTTAGTCTGCGCTCAAAGAATATTTCTACATGGTTTTATTTTTAAAAATATAATTTGATTTTAAACTTAATAATTTGATTTCAAGAACAAAATAAAAGACAAGCTTCGTA